CTGCCTCTGTAGGCTCCATGGGAAGAGAACAACCAGAAGCCAAATCTGGTCTCTTGTCCTTTGCTCATTTTAACCTGTGTCCTTTTGCGTATAATCAATCCTAACCATGAGTTCATTTACCATTCTGAGATCTGTGAGTTCTTCTAGCAAATCATTGAGCTGAGAGCGGTCTTAAGACCCTCAACACAGGCACCTTTCTCCTAGGGCTGCTGTGGCATTAAGTGGGTTAATGCATGACTCTAATAAGTCCTCAGTTATGGTCAGCAGCATATTCTTCCTGATAATTTGATGAAAAGGACATTTTGTAGATAACTAGGGAAATGGGCTAGTTGGCTAAGATACCCCAGACATTAAGGCCTGGACAGCAGCTGGCCTTTCGCACCCGCCTGGGCTCTGTCCCCAGAGCCCTTGCATGAGGATGCCCCTTGCTTTTCCCTCCCATTCCCAGAGGCCATTCAACTTCACCTTGGCCTGATTCTTTGCATCCTTCCTTCCTTGCCAAGATCACCACCAACACATAGACCACACAGAGGCAGCCCACAGTGGTCACAACCACAGGGTTGTCCTCGAAGGTGGCAAAGAATTCAGCAGTCTGACGGACGTCAACAGCATTGGGCATCACCAGGAATGTGCTTCCAAAGAAGGTGAGGTGTTGCACAAGCAGTGTGTCTGGGAGGCGGTGGTCTGAGGCCCCACCTGCAACCCACAAATGGTCATTGGTAGAAACCTTTGGGACTTCATCCCTGGATGACTTGAGCCCCAGGAAGAAAAAATGACATCCACTTTGGGATGAACATTTTATAGTCAGCCACAGATTCAGTCAACCTCAGATAAAAAATGTATTTTTAAATAAATGTGTCTGTGCTGTATAGCAACTATTTGCACAGAATTTACACTGTGTTAGGTTATCAAACTAATCAAAGATGAGCTAAAGTTTACAGGAAAACGTGTGCAAGATTACATGCAAATACTACACCTTTTAAAATAGAAGGAACTTGAGCTCCTATGAATTTTGGCATCCACAGGCAGACCTGGAATTCATGACCTTGGATACAGAGGAACAACTAACCTGGGGAGGGGGGCACTGTTCAGACTGCTGAGACCCAGGCTTCGGGATTCCCCTGGGCTTTCTTATTTAAAATCAATTTGCAAATTCAAAGAATATGATTTTATTTCATGATGCTGAGGATGGAACCCAGAGCTTTGTGCATGTAGGCAAGAGCTCTACCATTGAACTATGTCTGCAGCCCAGAGAATAAATATCATTTTAACAAACCCAGCACCCTCTTGGGAAGTCTGAACAGTTTGTCAATTGCTTTGCCTGTTTTAGAGAAGTGTTGCAGGTGAGGTTGGAGTCTCCATTGTCCCACCCCCAAAAGCATCCACAGACTTGTCCTGTGTCCCTCCCATCCTTGGCCCACTTGATGCTCTTTCACAGGACAATCTTTCCTGGGTACTAACACTGTGCCTGGCCACATGCCAGTTGAGAGCACAGCTGAAAGCAATCTGGGTAAACACCTGTCTCGGTTTGCCCGGGACTTTCAGGCTTTTCTAACTCAAAGTCCTGAGTCCCAGGAACTCTTGTCAGTAAACTGGGATAGTCGGTCAGTTTATACTGAAGAGCAAAGAGCCAGATTGGGAGTCATGGAAAAGAAAAGGAAAGGACAAGTGTTCAAATCTTAGGCTGGCATCTCAATGCCAGGAAGGTGTGGAAACAGCAGGTGGGCAGAGAGGAGCTGGTCTGGGTGTACTCGTGCTTCATTCCTGCATGGTTAAGGCAAGCCGTCCCCACATGCCTCAGCCAGCTTGGTCTCTCACTCTAGAACCATTTGAGGGTGAAGAAGAGTCAATTTAGCCCTTCAGTGCAGCACCATTTTCATTCCAGGGTCTGCCACAAAGTGGGACGGAAGGAAAGGGCACAAGAGACTCGCATCTGGAAAGCTCTCCCCTCGACACCTGGTAGGAAGAACCTCTCTGCAGCCCAATTATGACCAATAGGTAATTCTGCCTCTTTCCCTTAATGAACCACCAGCAAAGGCTCGCCCTACACATGGGCATGGGGCCAGCTATTTATTATGAATTTCAGGTGGCTCTTGGTTCTATGTTTGTTTTGTGGTGTTTCTCATTGTTACCTCACCTTGCTCAGCATTTGACCACAGCTGTGGGCCTTACGGGAACACCTGGCACCAGGAAGGGTGTTGCTGCTTTCAGAGAAGAGATCCAAGCAGGTGCTGGTGATCAGACCTTGGTGCTGGAGTCAGGGACCCGTCTTCGTTTATGCCCAATATCTTTGTCCTTCAGGGTTCTTTCTTTCTTTCCTCCTTTCTTCCCTTTGTTTCTTTGTTTCTTTCTTTCTCTCCCTCTTTCACTTTTTTTGAAACAGGGTCATACTATGTTGCCTAGGATTACCTTGAATTCTCTATCTTCCTGCCTCAGTGCTGGTATTTTAGACACATGCTACCATGTCTGGCACCTCCAGGGCTTTCACAATCCCTGAGGTCAGTGGCATTCCCAGCCCTTTCTAGCATGAGGGTCCCTTTTGGGGGCAGGGCAGGAAGGTCCTAGGGAATAGAACCCAGAGCCTGGTGCATGTTAGGCAAGTGCTCTACCACCAAACTACACCCCCAGACCACAAGAATTCTTTGAAATCAGAGATTGATCTGTGGATCTTCCCGTGGCAACAACTGCACTTTTAGTATCCTTTGAGAAAAGATACATACAGAACCTTGCTCTGGCTGCTTAGAGAATTCAGTGGTAGTTTTTCTATCCAAACTTGATGGTCTGTGTAACAATCCCATATATCTAAAGCTGTATCTATAATGAGCATCAAGTAGCTAATATTACATCAATCATAATTTGGGGTCCATGAATGCTCCCATATGACCTCTGCATATCCCATTATCATGTGTGTCTGCACAAAAAGCGAATTTTTTAATAACATAATAAGCATCTGTAAACTCACAACTAGAAACTTCCCAATAACCTAGGATTAGCTAAGTGGACCTCCCCCAACCTGTTCCCACCCCTCCAACCACCATCCTTGACTTCTCAGTCATTGTTTTCCTTGGCATCTGTTTTATAGACAGTGAGTGTTTAACACAGCAATTGCTTTAGCCTATGGGCCATGCACGCTATGCCAGGCATGGTGCTAAGTACTCTGTATGACAAAGCCCCACCTAACTCTACATGGCAGCCACTCCTTATCCTATTTTAAGATGGGAAAGCTCCAAGAGGTGGGCAACTTGTCCAATGTTCTGGAAGCAGAGAATTCTGGGAGGATGCCACAATACCCAGGCTTTTCCCAGAGGTACAAAGGATTGTGCTATGAGCATGGGGACCCCATTGTCTCTTGGACAGCTCTGTGTGCTTTTGTTTCTTCTGGGCTTTGTGGGGCTCCCTGAAGTTGGTATCCAGAAGCCAGGACAGGAATTGAAGAGGAAACTGTGACCAGAACAGAGACAGCCCAGAAGGAGCTCCACTTGAGTGTCCTCCTTCCTGGCTCTGGTGGGCCATGGCTTTTATACGTTGTGATGGTTGCCATTAGACGAGTGCGTACCATTTGCTTCTGCTCTGCATCCACTGCTAGGCTGAGAGCTCACTGTATGGCCCATCACTGGGACATGGTGAACATTTGGTGGATAAATGAAAGAAGGTACTTGTGGTCTGTAGATGGAGACAGATGGGTGATAAATTGTGGAAGCCAACAGCAGGGGACTCAAGACACCTGGAAGAGTTCCCAGGAAGAGGGCTCTGGAGTGAGAGACATAGGGTAATAGGTGTTTTCTGGGCAAGGGTAGGTAAGAAGGGCATTCAGGAGAAGAGGGCAACATATACAGCTCATGGAAAGGGACAGGACAGAGATTCCCCAGAAAGGGCTCTGCTGGCCTCAAGGTCGATGCATGCTGCACCACCCTCTCATGGGCCTCAGTGCCCTGGGGGCAGAGCTGAGCTGAGCTGAGGATTTGATTGGACTTACTAAAGCCATCTGGTGTTCAAAAGGACTCTGAGCACTGGGGAAGGCATGCCATGGTCACAGACAGACCTGGCCTACAGCCCCAGCTCTTCCTCATACAACATGTGGGATTTGGGGCAAGTTCATTGAGTTCCCAAGCCTTCATCTCATTACCTGTAAAACAGAGTAGCGGCTCTAGGAGATTCGTGTGACAATGTGATTATATGAAGCTAGTCAAGCAGGGAATGCAACACTTGGCAGAAAATAAGGAGCAGCTGAGTCTATTTCCTTGGAAATGACACTCTGGCCTTCCCTGGCTACCCACAGTCCACAGGGTTTCCTGAGGTTGTCCACTCATTTGATGGTCATTTGTCCCAGGGGTAAAAGCATAGTTCCTGTCTCCTGGGGCCCCCAGTGCACCAAGGGATCAGACAAAATTCAAATGATCTCACCAGGGTTCAGATGACTGTGCTGCTCAGCACTCTGAAGAAGGAGCGTGTGAGTTTACAACAAAAAATCTTGACCCTGTTCTAGTCAGAGTCAAGAGTACTTTTCTTAAGGAAGCTGTGTTTTGGCAAGGGAACTCTGGGCACAGGGAATGGCATGTGCAAAGGTCCCATGGATGGGCACAAGACACTGCTCTAAAGAGTCCAGAAGGGGACCCCACCAAGTCACAGTATCTTTTTCTTTGCTTCCCTCTCCTTACCTGGCACCCAGAGTTGTCCCAAGTCTCCTGGATCTCATCCCAGAGCACGCAATGGGACAGGAAGGTGGTGATGCCACTGTGAGGTCCCTGCCAGAGGTTGGCTCCAGGTTGGACTCAGGAACCACAGTCATAATAGATACCCTCTCCAAAAGGCAAGTCGTCAGGGCCCAGGATCCATGTGGATGGCTCACTGCAGCAAAGGGGACTCTGATTAGTCTGAAGCCTCAGTGAGATTGCAGTTGACATCATGGAAGAGAAGGACCAAGGCAGATGCAGGGAAGAAGACCCCAAAGGTCTCTCTGTTGTAGGAGCACAGAAGAAAGGGCACCCCTGGTCAGTGTGCAGAGCTAGTCAAAAAGACAAGGGCTCACATGCTAATTCTACCTTATAGGCAGTGAGATCTCAGATCAGCTACTGAACCTCTCTGTTTTTGTTTAATAAGGGGAGATTTCAGTGTGTGTATCTCAAGGGTTGTCACCAGCACCACATTAAGGATAGTTCAGGAAGGGCTTGTTAGCATTGTCAGGGCATGCAGTAAGTGCTCACCTCATGTTGGCAAATAAAAATAATACCAATACGACCAACATAAGTAAGCCCCTTTACATGGCAGGTGGTTTTTCTTTGCTCTGATCCTCAAGTTTGAAGGTACCCACCTCAAGGAAATAGCCCGGGGAAGGGCTACCTGGAGCAGTGGCTGGTAGCAGTTGTGGGCATCATAACTGGTCCCATTGGGGCGGTAGCCATAGCCCAGGCTGAGTGTGAGTGGGACGTCAGGTCTCCAGTGTAGCTGGACCCAAGAGCCACTCCCCTGTGGTCACGTTCACCCATAGTGTTTCAGGTGTGGCCAGGCTCATGACAGTCGGCTCGCTGTGTCCTTCCAAATGACGGGGCAGCAGGATCTGCCACCAGAAACAATGAGATCAAGAAAGTGGCAGCCAGGTGCATCACACCCCTCACAGACCTGGGCAGGGAAGCATCTGGGAGCTGAAATCCATGCTGTGCTATGGTTTCTAGAACAAACAGCCACAAGCTGGATAACGTAAAACAATATGAATTTGTTATCCTATAGTTCTGGAGGTCAGAAGTTGAAAGTCAGTTTCATAGGGCTGAAGTTGGTGGGGCTGGTTCCTTCTGGAGGCTCTACGGAGAATCCATTTTCTCATCCTTTTCCAGTTTCTGGAGGCCACCTGCATTCCTAGGCTCATGGCCCTCCCTCACATTGCTCCGACCTGTTGCTGCTTCTCTGTCACCAAGTCACCTTTTCCTTGCCTGTAGTCAATGTCCACCCCTTCTTCCCTTTTCCAAGGCCCCTCATGATCACAATGAGCTTCCTAGACTATTCAGGCTTAACTCCCCGTTTCAAGGTCCTTAGCTAAGTCACATCTGCAGAGTCCCTGGTAATATATACACAGGCTCCAGGGATGGGGACGTGGACACCTACTGTTATTGAATTAGTCATGAATGAGAAAATATGAGAGATGACTAGAATAAATCATTAATATTCTAAAAGAATTCAAACTCATACTGCACTGCTTTTGCTTAACTTTAAAGAAAATCTAAGCTAGGCACCAGTGGCTCACACCTGTAATCCTAGCTACTTGGGAGGCTGAGATCAGGAGGATCACAGTTTGAGGCCACCCCTGACTAGTTTGAGAGACATCATCTCCAAAATAACCAGAGTAAAATGGACTGAAGGTGTGACTCAAGCACCTTCAAAGCTCCTGCTTTGCAAGCACAAAACCCTGAGTTCAAACCCCAGTCTCACCAAAAAAAAAAAAAAAAAAAAGAAAGAAAGAAAAGAGAATCTAACCAGGTGTTTTAGAGGCTATATTATATGGGTGACTTGTACAACTAAGATGATTAAAATTCCAATCAACAGATTCATATCCCAGGAAAACTTCTTGTTAGATACCCAAAGATGTGCAAATGGCCATACATTTATGGTTTGAAATTAAATAACGTGTTTAAGGTAGGGTAAGGATGGTTTTGAATGATTCACTTCTTTAGCCATTGCTTTCATAACCAGCCAACTTTGAGTCCTAATCAAGTTGAAAAAGAAGACTAAGTGCCATCTGGCCTCTGACAGTACCCCAACTTCTACCTCAATATTCTCAGACAGGTTCTTCACAGGGATGGGCTGTCCACTAGGGCTGGTCAGAACAAGGCCACCAATGGTCCCACTGACATCAAAGCGACTCTGGACTGGAAAGGGGCTCTTTGAAGACTCATCATCTGAAAGCAAGAGCAGAAAGCATTGGCCCAGGCTCCCAAGAGGTAGAGGGTAACAGGTCCCTATGTGAATGACTAGATCCTAAGATAGGGTAGATAAACAACCCTTGTCCTGTGGGGTGCAGAGAGGACCCCACCTTCAATAGCTGCTCGTTTCAGGACACATTTCTACCCTTTAAGGCTGTGGCCTCAGAGGGCTGGTCCTGGAGAACCCAAGTCAGATTTCCTTGGTTGAGCAATTACTGGAGTATGAAATATTTCTTCCAAAAAGTCAATGTAGTCAGACCTCCTTGTCTCTTGGTTCTGGATCTGTGGACTGAACTAACTATGGATGGAAAATATTATTTTTTAAAAAATTGCACCTGTACTGAACATGCGTAGACTTTTTCTTATCATTCTTCTAAATTTACGTTGTGTCGATCCTGAGATGATTTAAAGTGTACCGGAAGAGGTGCATAGGTCACATGCAAACACTGCATCGTGTTACGGAAGGAACTTCAGCATCCACAGATTCTGATATTTACAGAGCTTAACTCCCATGGATACCAAGGGATGACTGTAAGTCTCAAAGAGAAAGGTCCTGGCCTACTTTCATTAGGGCTCAAGGAGTCAGAGACATGTGCCTTAACTGGGGATGGGCCTTGGGAGTACCTAGTGGCAGAACTGAACCTGAAGAGCGTTCTTCCAATGACTCATGAAGACAAGTTTGTGGGAGAAATTTGCAACACGGCGAGAACAGGATAGATTTGTATGCCCAGAGCTGTGAGTCCCCATCCCAGCTCTGCTACTTACTGTGTGGTTCTGACATGTCATTGACCCTCACCTGTAAGACAGGACTGCTCTTAACACCATCGAGCAAACGCAAGTGAGAATGCTTTGGCAAGCTGTAAAGGGCTGTCCCCAAGGAGGTACTGCTGTTGTTACCCTTATGTCCACAGGCTCCCGGCCATCCTCCATAGGGCAGAGGGACATGGTGGCAGGCAGCGTGAAGGTCACAGAGTTGGTAGTGGCAATGTGCACAGAGGAGCCTCGCCACGTCTGCGGCTGTATTCTGGCCATGGGGTAAGAACGGAGGGAGGGAAAATCAGTGTGAGGGCAAGTCCCATGCTTCCTGAGCCTCAGGGAGATTCCACTTGCCATCAGAGTGGGCAGCTGTTTTGCCATCTTTAGCAGGTTCTGCATGTTTGTATCAGTAGAAGCAGCCTCAGAGGCAGATGATGCCCCTATGTGGGATTGGAGGCACCATGAAGACAGGCTTTGTTCTAGAAGAGTGTCAGGCACTTAATAGGTGGTGAACAAATATTTTTTTGAGAGTGTAAATGCCCACCCTGGTGGGGGTGGCTTTTCTCGATGAATCCCGCCGCCCCCCCCAGTTCTAGGTCCTGGCACTTTAGCCCCCAAGGCTGGCCTCTGGGCATAGAATGAGGAAACTAGGGTATGAGCTTCCTTGAGGACACACAGTATAGCTGCTTACCTTTTTGTACACAGATGGCAGGGTGGCCAGGGTGACTGGAAGGCCCTGGGTAGTGTCCCAAGCAGGAGGGCAGTCTGCACATGCTCCACAACCCCAGCAGCTGGGCCACTGTGGCAGCCTGGAAAGAGAGGCAGAAGAATACAACTGTGGACTGCCACCCTCACTTCTGATTACTGTCACCAGGCTAGTGTGGGGCCCTCAGCAGGAGGGACAGAGTAAGGGAGAAAGAGCCCTGTGGGTGATGGTAAGAGCAGCACTTAGAGATTCAAATGCCCAGCTCATGTGAACCTTTCTCACCCTCCTGATCTCTCTGACGTAGGTGCTTTATCCTCCCCTTTGGCAGAAGAGGAAGCAGAGGCACAGAGGAAAGGCGACTGGTCACATGTTGACAAGAAGAAGAGCAAAGGCTTGTGAGTAAGCCTCTGGCTCAGGGCCTGTGAGCTGAGCAGTCATGCTGTGTGGGATCTGTGCTTGGTGACATCCACACCTGACCCAGGTGATACTCTCTCCAGGTAGAGAGCCACAGCCAAGGCCATTCCATGGGCCACCATCCAAACCCCAGATAAGACATGTTCTCATGATGCCACGGCTGAGATGAGGACCCATGAAGGGTGGGCATTTGCAGAGGGCTGATGGACCCATTGTGTGCACGTGTGCCTGTGTGCATGCATGCACAAGTGTTTGGGTATGTGCATGCAAGTCTCTGCAAGGACGAGCGTGTGAATGTATGTCGGTGTACACAGGTGTGTGCGACTGTGGGTGTTGGGTGTGGGTAGGGGATTTTGTGTGTGAGCACACTGTATGTAACACCTGTGTGTGTGCTGGCATTGCCATGTGTGAAGATTGTGAGAGAGCATGCTTGAGGGCGTGAGAGAGTAAGTGGGTGCCCCTAAGTGTGTGAGTGTGTGGGTGTGTGACTGTGGGTGTGAATGTTTATTTGTGAGGGGTGTGAGTGTGTATCTGTGTTTGAGTGTGTGTGAGAGAGAGGGACAGGGAGAGGATGAGGGTGAGAGTGAATGTGTATGTGTTGGAGTGTGTCTGACGTGTGGTCATGTGTGAGCATGTGACTCTGTATGTAGGCATCTTTGCATGTCACTGTCCTTCGGGTCTTTCTGAATAGGAAGGGTGGACTCTGGGATAAGGGACTGCGGAGAAGCTAGAACTGGGCTTTGCAGCTCCGTCACGATGCTCTCCTGGGAAACTCTCTCTGTGCCCCATCAGGGCCACCTGTGTCTCACCTATTCACGTCCTGGATGGCTGACTCTTCTAAAAATGTTCTGTGTTCTTGTCTATATAAACTAGGACTTCACTCAAACTTTCAAGGGGCACATATGACCTCTCTAACAGCAGCTGATCTGGGATGAGGCAGGGTGTCTCCGTGGACAGATGAGGAAATGAGGCTTAGGGCAATTGTGTGACTTGCCTGAGTCATGAGGCTTATAAGTGAGAGGCAGGATTCAGAGTCAGGCTGCCAGGTCCCAGAGCCTGCACTCTGCCCACTCCACCACTGCCTCTCAAGGATTTTGTTCTCTGAACCCTTTCTTCCGGTTCCTTGGGAAATACTTAATCTTCTGTGCCTCAGCTGCCTTATCTGTAAGATGGGGAGAAAGATCCCCTAGAAATGCTGGTGTGAGCTGGACATACAGTGGACATGAGATCTGTGTCTGCCCTGGATCAACCACCTGGCTGCTATTGGTCTCCACAGCCTCTTCTGGTCCATGGCTCAGGGAAGCTTCCAGTACACTGCTCACAGCCCAAAACAAGTCCCTGGTAGCTGCTTGGTGCTTCTGGTCCTCAGGATGGGTCTTGGCACTTGCAGTCAAGAGGGCTTCACTGGCCTGCCACAGAGCCTGGCTGGCTTCCCACTGGGTTTGTCAAAAGAAGGAAAAGCAGTGTGAGCCCCTGCCTGGGACAGATCAGTCCCTATGCCATTCAATAACAAGAGATGCAGTAGAGGGGAGCAAGGCAGGGCCCAAAGCCAGGAAAGGGCTGGACCAGGCCCATCACATAAGCAGCCTATATTCCTGACTTGAGACCTGGTCCTCCTTCCTCACAAGGATCTAAGATCCTCCAGGAAAATAGCTTGATCTGCCTCTGAATCCTTCCCTAAGTCTGCACATAGTAGGTCTCAGTAACATTTGCTGAATGGATGGAGGATGGAAGGATGGACAGAAGGAAGATTGACAGATGGATGGATGGAGGATGCATAGATGGACATAGCACTTATTCCAGTTTAATAATTATATATGTATTTGCAAAATTATTTGTTTAATGTCTGGCTTCCCTAATAGTCTGAAAGTGCCATGAGGACAGAGTCCATGTGTGTGACTTGTCACTGAATTCTCAAGGAATTCAGCACCCAGCACATAAGCATTCGGGAAACATTTGTTGAGTGAATGAACTCATGCATGAATAAATGCACAGAGGATGGAGAAATGGAGGCACATAGGGACAAATATGTGGATGCACATAAAACAGATGGATGAACACATGGTGCATCAAATGTTACATGAACAGTGCCTTGGCCCTGAAATAATTCCAGCCTTGTGAGCTTCAGGCTGGGGTGGGGGGTTGGGTGGGACAGGGCCAGGGCAATTCTCCCCTTTTGCTGATTTTATGGCTGCTTTTTAACCCTGGGAATGTGGTCCTTTGATTTGAGTTCTTCAGGAAGCTGATGCTGAGACCAGGATTTGGGAGCAAGTCATTTATTTGGAGGTGGTTCCAGGGACCATCCAAAGAGGCGTAGGGATATTAGACAGGCAAGGGTGGGAATCCAGTTTGGGAGATGTGATCAAGCCCATTACCTGGGACTCGGTCCTGCTTGGAAGTTATCCTCCAAAAGGGGTGAAGGAGCTGGGGTATCTGTGCACCAGCCTCATCAGTCACTGGGCATTGCATTAATTTCCTGCAATGGGGGCAGGTGGAGGGTCTTTGGGGGTTAGGAAAGGGTCCCAGGCTAGAAAGGTAGGAGCTGGCAGCTGGACACCAGTCTGGTATGTACTGAGGTGCGAGGACAGGGTGGGTCAGCAGCAGCATCTGGACATGCCCTTGGTGCCTAAAGATGAATAACGTTCAGGTACTCCCTTGAGTTGCTCACTAGCAGGTGAGGGGTGAGGGGTGAGGACAGACAGGCCACCACACCTATTATGCAACCAGGGGGCACCTTCACTTGCACCACCATACAGGACTCTTGGAAAGAAGATGGCAGAAGTCTTGGCAACCCCAAGAGAGCCATGACTGAGAGACCCCTTAACTATGCCCCTCTGGGTTGTCACCCTCCTGCCATGAAGGTGTGTGTGCCATGGCCTGATTCAGCAAGTAGAAATTCTTACCTGGGCTGAGGGTGTGAGCTCCTCACTGAAGTGGGTCACCTCTCTCAGTACTTCGGCTAGCCCCTGCACCCTCTGCATATCCTCCAGGCTGGCAGTGATCATGGACAGTGACCCCAGCACACACTCTCTGACCTTGGCACAGGGGGAAAAGGCCAGGAGAAGAAATGTAATTCCAGAGACTCCATAGAGCATTTCAGGAAGATTTGGAATCTGAGGAGTGGTCAGGTTCATCCAGGTTTTGCAAGCCCCATAAACCTGCATTTGCCTCATAGGATGTGTGTAGGCCAGATGGTGATCTCCAAAGACGTCCATGTCTTAATCCTCCAATCCTGTGAACATGTTACTTCACAGGACAAAAGTCACTTTGGCAAAATCACTTTTGAACTGTGGCTAATTTAAGGATCCTGAGATGGGAAGAGAGTCCTGGATTAACAGGCGGGATGCTGTGGTCCTAGGATCTTTGTAAGAGGAAGGCAGGGGGGTAAGACTGAGGGAAGGAGACAGATGACAGAGGCAGAGGTGGGGGGCTTGGGGAAGAGGAAAGGAATTTAAAGTGGAGCAAGGGCCATGAGCCAAGGAATGCAGGTGGCCTCTAGAAGCTGGAAAAGGCAAGGAGTTGATTCTTCCCCAGAACCTCTAGAAGTTTCACAGTCCTGCCTAGGCATACTGGCCTTGGTTTCATCATCTTTGATATGAAGGGGTTAGAGCAATACTGTCTACATTCCCTTCCAGTTCCAGAAGCCTAGGACTGGTGACAGTGAGCAGAGAACACAGGTTATCAACAACAAGGGCATTTTTTTCACTGTATGTCCCTCACTGGAAGGATCAGAGTGGGAGATGACAGCAACCACTTGGAGACACTAAAGGCTTCTCCACTGGTCCATGAACCCTGCCCCCACCCCACCCCAAGTGGCTTCATAGAGACCATGGAGACCCCAGCAGAAGGAATCAAAGAAGCTGTCTCAAGCACCTTCCATCTCATGTCCATTCCCAGCAGCTGTTCGGAGTTCTGGTCTGGTCCTCCAAGTTCAGCACAGAAGACACAGACTTGGCCAGTTGGAGAGCTGCTCAGGGCTATGCTCGCCTTGCAGAGCAACAGCGATTCTTTCCAACATAGCAGCCTGGATTGCCCCATTCTTCACACCTGTGTCACCAAGTCCCACCTGACAGGAAAACCAGAAATGGGGAAACGGGCTCAGTGGTCCTTCTTCAAGAACTTGATGCCTGAAATCGTGGTCTTCATGTGGGGAAACAGAGCAGGCCTGGCATGGGGCTCCTGGATACTTCCTGAGGTTGGAGGGCACTAGGACCCACTTGTTCCAGGCAGCTGACAACCACCAAAACCAAGTCTTGGGCAAACTCTCATTTCACCTCTAGCTGTCCTCTTCATCCTATCCATCCCTCCCATCTCTACCTGGTTTATGGACCTTGAAATCTTGGGATTTATCCTGGCTCTGCATTGCATAGTCCTGCCCAGGGCACAAGGCTGCCTGTGTCCTTGCTGGTTGATCTTGGTCCTCCTTCCCCTGTATTCTCTGAAGACACTAGCCTAACTCATGCTTGAATCCTTCTGCGCCTCCCACCCTTGTCACTTAGTCGTAGATCTACAAAGGTAGAGCCCAGGTCTATATGTTTGTGGACATATCCTTAGGGCTTGGCACTTAGTAGACACCCTGTAAATATTTATTGAAGGAATGAGTAAAATAAGTGATTCACTGGCTATGCCCTCTTCTGCCTTCCACCCAGTCACCCTTGTGGTAAAGTTCAAGAAAGAAACAAAGGCTATCACAACCACCCACCTTAACCTTTGCATTGGTCTGCTGTCTGTCTCCTGCCTGATTAGTGACAGAAATGACCACTGTAAGCACATAGTCATTGTCTTTTCCAAGTGGTAGGTAAACAGATGGGAGGGCTGGCTCAGGGCCACAGTGTAGGCAGGAACCTGGAAAAACGGAAATTGAGAAATTAGGGTGGTATCTCCAAAGCCCCAGGGAGACTGCAACTCACCTGGTCACAAGGACACAAAAGCCACAGTTCTGGAGGGTGTGGCAGACACTCTGGGATTCCATATTGTCAGGGAGAAGACAGCCATATATACAGATCCATCGTCCTCTCTAAGTAACTTTGGAAGAGTTTTCCTGAAATTCATGAAAAACATCAGGAAAACCCCCCATTTACAGTTTTTAAAATTGAAAGTGGTAAACCAAGTTACAAAATGAAGGAAAAGAAGGGAGGTGAGAAACAACGACTTAAAGCTTAGCTAAAAGTATATCCAAGCTCTCTTAAGAATCAGAAATGTTCTTGGAGTTTTTGGTTTTGCTTTTTGCTAGTACTGGGATGGAACCCAGAGCCTCATATATGCTAGGCAAGTGTTCCACTGCTTACCTACATCCCCAGTTCCCTCGAGCTCTTTCGAATATCCCTTCTTTAACAAGGCCCTCTTCTCTGGTTGCTCTCCCAAACAGCAGCCCCTGTCATAGATGTCTTGGTGCCAGTTATCTCTGCCACTAGACTGTAAAGACCATGAGGTCAAGGATTTCCTCTATTTTGTTCGGTGATATATATGTAGCATCTAGAGCAGAAGGTGACATTCAGTATGTAGGTATTGTAAGAATGAGCACATGAATGAATGTCCTTTGCATCCTTAAATGAGAACCACCTGTCATTGGCATTGCCAGTCATCGTTACAGCATGCAGGCAATTGTGATGTTATTGACTTGCAATTGAACACACATTTTTGTTTTAATTTTTTAAAGACAAGATCTCACTATGTAAACCCAAGCTGGCCTTGAACTTACTGTTATAGCCCAGGCTGGCCTCAAACTCTTGATCTTCTTGCCTCAGCCTCCTGAGTGCTGGCATTATAGACATGTATCACCATACGTGGATGAATGCTTATGTTTATATGGTCACACCTCCTTGCCTGCTTGCTCACCTGTAAGAGGTGAGCATGAGGAAGGTAGTAAGGAAAATAGCCAATCAAAATTAGAGTGGCTGACCTGGCCTCTCCCTTTGGGGGTTGGGATGTAGGTTGGAAATGAAATCTATTCACCAGGCTTGGATTTTCCCCTTCCAGGCTTGGATCAGTCACATCCTTCTTAACAGCCCTGCATTTCCACAGTCTTTGACAGGGTACCCAATGAAAACTATACTCCCCAGGCCATAGAAGAGCTTGTGCTCATCTTTCCCTGATCAAGATGCACAGTTTATGTCATTGTGGATATTCAGAAACATCCCTATGACACTCAGGGTGCCTAGGTTTGGAGGAACATTCCAATCCAACTAGAATCCTTGCTTGTGACCTTCATGTCACAAATGCTAAGCCCTTAGGAGACAAGGAATCAGATGAGCCTTCCAAGGACCAACTAGCACCAAAATGAGAGACTAAAAAGGATGTGGACTGCATACCCCATCTCCCCTGCCAATGACCACTGCTTTCTGGCTGTGGGCTGTTACGGCGATGGGTGACTGTATAGGGTTTTGTGCAATGTGGATGAGGTCTTTGGTATTCGTCCTCTATAAACTTTTGCAAGGCTCTTCTCCTTTCAGCTCAGCTTATCTTGTGACATAGCCATTCTCTGCAGTTGCTTTGCAAAGCAGGGTCAAGGAAATCCTTGAAGATTCTGTGAACCAGACCTGCTCTGTCTTCCTGAGTAGCTCCGGACTTTCAGAGTCACGGCTACTCTCAGTATGTGTGTTGGGGGACAGTGTCCTACTAAGTCTTTACCTGTCATACTTCTGGGTCTCCTCATCCATCTCACCCTTTCCTATCCCTTACACTGGGACAGAGGTCATTTTGGCTTCTGGGCTTGTGCAGGAGCTGCTGGTGGGATCTGCTTCTCATGTCCCCATGGTGTGATAGCAAGGGCAGTGCCTTGAGCGTGGCCAGGGTTTAGGGGATCCCTTATCCTGCCAACCTCTGTCACACATAGAACACATTCTTTGCAGGTCCCAGAGAGATGTTCTTGGAGAGGATGAGACTAGGAGCTGTGGAGAGAGCAGTCCCTAGCCAATGCCTGATTCCAGACAGAAGCAGTACTCCAGGGGGTGCAGGGTCATGGAGACATTACAGAGAATGGCGAAGCTTGTCAGTATGGTGGCCTCCTCTGGGACAATCACACAAGTGGGCATCTCGAGGGGAGGCAGAGAGCTGATCACATAGGTGTCCTCCCCATAGGCGTGCCTGGTCAGTGCTGTGGAATGAAGCAGATCAGGCTTAGGGGGCTGGGAGGGTCATGAAATGCCACCATGCTTTAGGGTGACTCATAGAGCTTAGGAAGTATGTAGATTTCTGGGCCCTTATCCGACTCAGAGCCTTACATTTCTCTGGAGATCTTTGAGGCAGGCCCCCAAATATTCATATCTAAGAACACCCCCTGATGCAGGGGGTCCCAGGGTCCCACTTTGAGAAATAGGGCAGGCACTTTGGAGGCTGAGGTAGGAGGATTGAGAGTTCTAGGCCAGGCTGGGTATATAGTGAGATCCCATCTCAAAAGCCCAAAAAAGAGGTGGGGAGAGAGGAGAGGAGAGGAGAGAGAAAGTGGACAAAGACAGAGAAAGACAATCAGACATTTACCAGCCAAGTGACCTTGGACTTGACCTTTTCGAGGGTCATTTATAAAATGGGACCAATAACAAGAAGTCCTTGTACAGACTTTGAGGACTAAACATATGGGGAAATCATGCCTCATTCAAGGTCACTTAGCCAGGAAGGGCCAGAGCCAGGATCTGGAAGCAGATTGACCCCACCCAGAAGCCCACCTCTTTCCAGGTCCCCCCCTGGCACAAGCACAAAGCCCACAGCTGACCTGCAACAATATCCCATGTCACCTGGCATAGTTGCCTAATTTTTTTGTTTTTTGTTTTTTTTTAAGAGCATATGCCCACAAGAGTTGAGCAAAGGATAACTTTAATCAATTACAACTAATTTGTTAATCTAAACTCAATTCAGAAGACTTGGAGTGAACCAGGAGTGTCCATTTAACTTGTATCTCAGTTTATACAGCCGTGGGTGTTTTATGGGCCACTTTAGGAAACATAGAATCAAAGGAATTCTTCCACCTGAGTCAGGTGCTGGTGGCTCATGCCTGTGAGCTAGCTACTCAGGAGGCAGAGATCAGAAGGATCACAGTTCAAAGCCAGCCCAGGCAAATACCCCATATCAAAAATACCCAACACAAAAAAAGTCTGGTAGAGTGGCTCAAGTAGTATAAGCACTTACCTAGCAAGCAAGAAACCCTGAGTTCAAACCCAGTACTACCAAAAAAAGAAGAAAATCACTTGATTCTTTGTTTTCGGAATCTACATTTCCCACAGTGGTCCCATTTTATTGGTTTATTTGGTATGATTGAGTCTGTGTTTCTCTGTGTATCCCAGGCTAGCCTCAAATTCTCAATCCTTCTGCTTCAGCCTCCTAACTGCTGGAAATACAAGTGTGTGTCACCATGCCTGGGTAGGTTGTGTTTTGTTGTTGTTTGGTTGGTTGGTTTGGTTGGATTGTTGTTTGAACTTAGAGCTTTGTGCTTGCAAAGCAGGCACTCTACTGCTTGAGCTACACTTCTGGTCCATTTTGCTGTGGTTATTTTGGAGATGGAGTCTCACCAACTATTTGCCCAGGCTGGCCTCAAACTGTGATCCTCCCAATCTCAGCCTCCCAAGTAGCTAGGATTACAGGTGTGAGCCACAGGCATTTAGCAGCTAGATGGTTTTAAATGAGTAGCTCTGACTTCCTGGCTGGACAGGCAAGTGACACAACCCCAGAATGACATCCTTATTCCACTGTCATTGTCATTGATCCTGCATGATAGCAATTCTGGGAAGGCACTTGTATCATCTCCAGTTTACATGTGAGGACACTGAGGCACCAAGATGTTCAATCCACTTTCCAAAGTCTCCCAGGTAGAGAGTGGTAGTGACAGAATTCATTCCAGGCTATCCCTATCCCATGGTCTGCCAAAACCCCATAGTTTAGTGTTTCTGGTTTGTCTTGGTTTCCTGACAGAGGTGGAGGGGCAGCTTCTCACCTGTGGTCCAAATCCGGATTACCTGACCCCAGGTCTGCAGGGTACTGCTGTTCAGCAGTAGTGTGGAGGTGTTGCTCTGAAGGAGAGTCAGAGAGCGTGGCCAAAACCCCATGAGTCTGCAGGCAGCTGGGACGTGCTGGACCTGCAAGAGAGCAGCGCCCAGGCCTCTGAGTCTTAGTCAGAACCCTGAGCCTCCATAGGACAATGGTTTCTGACTCCAGAAGGCCTGTCTGACTTATCTCTGTTAGGGTGCCATCTGAGATCAGGTTCCCTGGAAGCAGAGCCTGGATGTGGGATTTGTGTGTAGGTCACTTAGGGAAAGCTTGCAGGGAAAAGCAGCAGGGGAGGGAGGCAAAGAAGCAGTTTCAGGAGAGGTGTCCAGCCTCAGCCTGGCTCTGTGGGGGAGTTCTGCAACGTAAGGTGCACTGCAGAAATTGCCTTATCCAAGGTGAGAGGGCTGAACTGCTCGATATCCCCAACTACCCTATTTCTCTGAGTGCCGTTGACCCCCACTGACCTGCCCTGGTTCAACGCAGGTAGTTTCTGTTTTGTGTAGTGTTAGTGTCCTCACCTTGTATGGTGACGAATCATCTAAGTACCAGCTGAACATGGCCACTGGGGTGTCATCTTCCAAAGTGACCCTAAGCAGAATGTCTTCATCTGCATTTACTGGCCAGCAGTTTTTCTCACATCTGGAAGGGACACAGAGAAAGGAGCAAGGAAGCTCTCTTAGCCTTGTGACCAGATGCCTTGTCTTCTGCCCAGTTCTTCTCAAGTCCTTTGAGAGAACGGGAGACGGCCTTTTCCAAATGAAAGATGGTAGAAAAGTTGTCAGTGCTCCAAGCAAAACCAGCACCCAGCCTTGGTCTTGCAGATAGATTCATGGCCTGACAAAATTCCCACCTCGCTCACTGCACAGGTTAATGACATGGGAAGTTCAGCAGGCTATGTCCTATCTCTGCCACTTAAGAACAGTCACCTTGTGTGAGTCACTTAAACTCTCTGGCCTCAGTTTCCCTACCTGCAAAGTGAGGGGACAAGTCTAGACTCTTTCTGTGATTCTTTTTGGTTCTAATAATAGTAAATAATGCTGGGCTTTTACAGCATGCACTCCATGCATAAATGACATGCAACGGTCACAGCAGCCCTGTGAGTGACACGTCAGAATCCTCACAGCACACACAAGCACAGCAGGCCCAGGGACTTACATGGTTTGTCCCAGGTGACACAACTGAGTGGTGGAGGTAACAAAGGCTCACGTGACTGGGTCTGAATCCTGGGCCTTCTCTGTGATGTCCTATTCCTTCCTGGAGCCCCTGAGAGGTCACTTTAGCATCTGCTGTATGTCCAATCCATCCCCTGGATCCTGCTCCACAAGCCTTCTCACATCTTGGTTCAAGACTGCCCTAGTATAAGCATTCTGGATGGTCTCCACTGACCCCTACAGACCATCCTCCAGCTTTTTGTGGCTGTTCCCCTCAGAGACTGACCTCTACAGACTGTGACACCTCAGCTCCCACACCCTCCAGCTTCTGCTTGGGTCCAACCAATGAAAGCACTGGTGGGTGCAAGGAGAGAGAGTGGGGTATTAACTACTGCTTTCTCTACTCCTTCCCCGGGAGGACTCTGATTGGCCAGAGACTGTAATCCTGTAGCCAATAGGATCCTATTGGGAAGTCCCTTTCCCATAGCTATAGCTCACAGGGGCTTGCAGCCACACACCCTCTCCACCTTTGCAATACTAGAAGAGATGGCTTCCCCTGATAAAATCCTGCATTGTCACCTGGGTTGTTCCTTTAGCCCTGTCCACACCTGTAAGTAGAATCTTCATCCGTCTGGGGTTGATTCCCAGTTAGTGTAAGCCACCCGCTTTCTTCAGGGACTCGGCCGACAGGCCAGCTGCCTTGAGCTTTTACCCTGACTCTTGCAAGAGCCTAAAAAGTCTCCCAGGGGAACTCTTGCCCTCCTGCATCTGTTCGCCACCAGAGTGTTTTGAAGCAAGATGTGATTATGTGCCGTCCTGCTCAGGATTCCTACACAACTTTCTCTGTACCTCTCTTAGGGAAAAGACCCAAATCTGACATGTCCTGCAAGGCCCTGCCTGAGCCAGGTCCTGCCTACTCTTCTGGCTCCTTTTTACCCCTCTCTCTTTCTCCATACTGAAAGAGATTGGCTTCTTTCATTTCTGAGTCTTCTCTGCTCTCTCTTTAATCCCTTTGTTGCCTCTCAGCCCCACTTTCTCTGGCTGTTTCCTCCTCCTCCTCCTCTTCCTTCCCCTCTGTATCTCTGCTGAGCTACAGCTCTTTTGGGGAGCCCTATCTGAGTCCTCCCCACCCACCCCCTCCAACACACACTGGGGAAATTGTCTTAGATATGTGCTTTCTGCCTTCCTTCCTTTGTGGCAATCATTGCTGACCCCCAGGTAGTGACACCCCCTTCCCCGCCCTCCCCATGAAAATAGAGATGGGTTGGTTTGCTCGCCCCTGCAAGCCTCATCCCTAAGGCAGGGCTGTTCTAGGTTGGCTCTCAGTGAGTGTTGGCTGATGAATGAATGACAACTCTGGAGGAACACACCCATTCACCCACCTGACTTTAGGCCTGAGGTCCAGAGGGGTGGACACTGCTCTGTCTCATTTTCAAGCTCCTGGCCCCTCAGGATGGACAAACGCAGAGTGACAGCAGAGTCAGGCGGTGGCAGGCAGAATGGTGGGGCCACCAGCTCCCTCTGGTCTGTGCGGAGCTGCCGCCTCTCAACACAGTCACTCCACTGGGCCCAGCAATGCCCTGAAAGAGATGAGCAGATGCTGTTATCCATTAGAAACCCCAAATCTGGCACAAGGTGCTACCTTCAGGCTCAAGATTTTTAGAAGAAAGGGGTCAAGACTAACAGCACCCTCTCCAGAGATTGTATTTAATGTTACTTGTAGTTTGCAGGAATGGTGCTGCAGAGGGTCACTTTGGAACAGACCCACACTGCTCCCAGATGCCAAGAAAACTTGCTGAATCTGCTTGGAAGGTTTGCACCAGTGACATTCACTGGGTGCTCAGGCAGTCATGAGGCAGGACAGAGCCCCAGCAGAATCTCTTCCCTGGGAGAAGACCCAGGGCAGTTCCTCAATTCAGTGCCCTTGTCATGCCACATACAGGAGGCTGTCTACAGCTCTACGTCCCCATGGGTGCTATGCACTTCCATCTGTGGGTGATGTGTCACCTGCTTTTTTGAGGGCAACTCTGTGAGTTCATCTCTGTTGATTGATGTCTATCCATCCACACCCCACATGAAAAAAAAAAACAACATGCACAGTATGGATGACATTTATTTTATTTCTCAAAGAATGTGTATGCAGCTAGGGTATCCCTATGAAAAGGAGGTCACCCATTTCTAAAAGCTTGGGCTGCCATCTTGGTTTGTCAAAGTATGCCTGACCCATGCCCCTTCTAGACTCTCCCCAGTGATATGGGGTGTGGGGGCAAAGGAAAGGATCCACCCCAGAGGGGAAGGATATTTCATTACAGAACTTGTTTGGTAATAGAAAAGCAGACTGACTTTTAGCATTATTGGATTTGATTCTCTACACCCCTTGCCACCTGCCTTTGGGACCATCCTCCCTCCTTGGTTTGCCACTATTCCCCTAGCTTCCATTTCCACAGAACTAACAATCTTTGGGAGATCCAAGTTACACAAAATGTCTGTCATAAGTAATGTCGATGTGAAGATGAAGAAACAAACAGCAAAACCTGCTGTTACTCATCACTGAGTGACAAATGACAATCCAAGCACTCTCATACCACCTACCACATGACCAGTGGAAGCGTAAGTCCTTGTCTTCGCCTGGCCAGTCCAGAGTAACTGTTGTGAAAGGATCCACGTATAGACCAGGCTTGACATACACCTCTATATCCCCTTTGTGTCTCTGCGGAAGAAGTGGTCAGTGGTAAGGCACCGCTCCACAGTTATCCTAGCCTCTCTGTGGAGTGCTGCTGCCACCCTGCTAACCCACCCTCCACCCCAGGGCAATGCTTGCCAAGACTGGCCACAGTATGAGGCTTAGGACAGAGAAAGACCCTGTATGAGCTTGCTGCCCTGGTGGGACCTGGAGCCCACTGTTTGGCATCACTAGGGAAGGAACTTTATTCCAAGGGTGGGCTCAGGGCCCACTATGCATTCAACTGCACAGACAGAGGCTGCCGGAGATACAGGAACAAAGGCCCAGCCCTTGCCCTGAAGTTAGGGATACAAACTGACAGTTAAAAATCAGAGTGATGACTGTCCTAATAGAGTGGGTCCCAAGGAATCAGGAGACTGGGAAGAGGGAGGCAGTAGGTTAATAATCCAGGCCTTTGGCTGGGCTTGGTAGCACACACTCATAATTCCAGTTACTGGGGAAGTCAGGCAGGAGGATGATGAGTTCAAGGCCAACCATGGGCAAAGTTAGCAAGACCCTATCTCAAAAACAAAGTACAAAAATCTTCCAAAGGGAAGGGGATGTAGCTCAAGTGATAGAGCACTTGTCTAGCATGCTCAAGAAAAGGATTGCAGGCCTTGGAGGTGGCCAAATCTCAGAGTGGATTAGTCTGTGGCTATTGGCCAGTTCCTCCACGGATTTGATAGCATTTGTCTCCAGATGTTGCTGTGGATTCTGTGAAAAGCACAGATCTGTTACCTTTACACATGGGACAGGGAGCCTGGGGAAGCTCCTGGGAGGACAGGTTCCCAGAGCAATCAGAAGGAGGAGGGAGAGCTGGCTCAGCAATGAGCATGCAGGTTCTATGAAGAGGGATCCACACACGCACAGTGTGTTCTAGGAGTAAACTCTGGTGAGACCTGTTGAACAACTCAGGCCTTGGAGCTTCTTGCTTAAGCCTAGAGGACAAGGCTACAGTGGAACTCAACCTCTGATGGTTTCCCATTGCCCAAGAATAAAATGCAGACTCCTTACCTTGGCACCCACAGCTCAGTGCCATGGGGCCTCCATGCAGCCCTGTAATCTCCTAGTTCCCTCCCTGGCCAGGCTCCAGGCTTCAGGCTTTTCTAGCTGCAGGCCCTCTGGTCCCACCTACACTCAGAAAGCAATACTTCTGCTGTTTTGTCTTCATGTCACCTCTTGAGAGGCCTCATCTGACCACATTTGCTACACCACCCTCTGATAGCTGCAATCACTGCACGCCAGAGGTCCTTATTGGATTCATATCACAGTTCATTTCTTAGTTCTTCTAATTTGTCTCACTCAGCTTCATGAAGATAGGGGTCACACTTATTTGTTCACCATTGCATTCCTAGCCCTAATATCAATCAATCAATCCTTGAACATCCTAGATACATAATAGGTCTTTGTTACTTTTTTCTTCCTTAAGGGGAAACATTCCTGAAAGTACAATGGACCAAGCTCCTATTCCCATTCCTGCTTCAAAAATACATTTCATATGGTTGTCCTGGGTAGAGGATATGTCAGACACTAAACTGGTAAGAAAACATACTTTTTTTTTTTTTTTGTAGTACTGGGGTTTGAACTCAGGGCCTGACACTTGCTAGGCAGGTGCTCTGCCACTTGAGCCGCTCTGTCAGCCCAGATACTAGATTTGATCTTAGCCAAGAGGCTGAGAAACAATAGGCTTTGTTACTGTTCGAGTATGCATGAACTATGTCAACGGCAAGGGTTTGAAGACCGGTCTTTCTGTAAACACCGAAGAGCAGTGATTGTTTTCTTATAGAAGCAGTTAAGGCTACAAATTTCCCTTTAAGTACTGTCTTAGCTGCATCCCACAACCCGGGCTACGTTGTATTATCATTTAGCTAGAAATGCTTTTCAATTTCTCATATGATTTCTTCTTTGACCCATGAATTTTTTTACTGAAGGGTGCTGTTTAATTTCTAAGATATGTGGAATGTCTACATTACCTAGATGGGTTGTTACTGATCTACAATGTACTTCTGTTGTTGGAGAGCATGCTTTGTTAGACTTCATTCTTTCTGGGTCTCTGGAGAAGCTTGGGAATTCCTACTGATCTTGCTATTGATACCAAAAACAGTGGCGCCTACGGCTCAGTGTCTCCTGAAACATCCAGAGTGGAGTGCCTGGACACATTTTTCTCGTTAAGTTAAATGTCTGAAAAAAGATACTCACGTTCTTTTCTTCAGTACTCATTCCAGATGGCTCTTGGAGACTAGCAGGGGCTGTGAACACAATGGAAACCAACATTAAGCTTTTATGAAAACCCTTGTGAAAGTTGTCAAAAGGAAGTGTGATCTGGGTATGATGACATGTGCCTGTAGTTAGTCTCGGCTACTCAGGAGACTGAGGCGGGAGGACCACTTGAGCACAGGAATTTGAGACCTCTCAAAAACAAAAAAAAGCAGAGTCAGAGGGTCGTGCGGAACATGTCCCAGAGGCATCATGTCTTGGAGAATGGCTCAGGGGAACAGAGCAACCATTTGGTTCATAGGGAAGCGGATCAAAAGCAAAGCCATCATGTCTACCGCTGGACTAAGGATACCTCTTTGGTAGTTAAGGAAGACACAGCTACCAATGCGAACTTTGTCAGACTTTTCATCACTGTGACAAACACCTGAGGGAAACAACCTAAAGGGGGGAATGATTTATTTTGGCTCACAGTTTCAGAGGTTTCAGTCCATCATGGTGGAAAGGGCATGGTGGAGCAAAGCAGCTCAAATCATGGTGGTCAGGAAGGGGGATGGGAGGGAAAAAGGGAGGGAGGAAGAGAGAGAGAGAAAGAGAAATGCCTGCATTTGCATTTCATTAGAGCCCCCAGCCTATGTGGGTAGCACACATTCAGGGTGTGTCTTTACCCCCTTAGTTAATCCTCCCTGGAAATACCCTCACCAACACACTCAAAGGTGTACTTTACAAATCTCCTAGGAATCTCTGAATCCAATCAAGTCAGCCATCAAGATGGATTTGGAGTCAGACCCGCACATCTGTGTGCCCCTGACATTGAACTGCCAACGGAGGGATGGGTGCAGGAGCCTTGACCTTTAGCATATGCTGAATTCTGTGGTGTGACTGTTCTCAGCAAGGTGGATCTCATCCTACCAACATGACATTACTGAGGGTGTCATGTGTACTGTGCAGCCACAGTACATCAATGCTGTGTTTTTACATCTTTTTCTGGCCCCTTATTAGTTCTGTGAACTTGGCAGCTTAGTTGTTCCTTCTAAGTTTGGTTTCCTCATCTGCAAATAAGACTCAAGCAATTCCTGGTTCTGAGCACTCCAGGGTTACTAAATGCAGTGCCGTCTATACCATTGCTTCATACACTCTACATCTGTATAGAAGGCAAGTGTGGCGTATAGCAAAATGAAAAGGCATATTTCATTGATATCTCAGAGGATATTGAAATGTTAATAGGATTAATACCTAACTAAAGGGTAGTGACTAAGAGAGGGATAGCCAGTGACATGGAATATGTTAAGAGCCATGCACTATTGATCTTTAAAAGATTCTCTCCCAGGGAATTCTCATTCACACAACTACAACTGTGAAGCTCTGTGAAATTGTACAAAGCAAAGCTAGGATGCCAAAGTAGCCTCTAATACCTTGAGAAGAAAGACAGTTCAACAAGCCTGGATGAAGATATCAAGCAAAATAGCTGCTGCCTCTGTTTCTACCACAAATTAGCTGAGTGATGTCTGCAAAATCTGTTAACCTCTTTGAGCCTCAAATCCTGTACATGAAAAAGGAGGGCTGTGGACAGTTGAATGAACATCTGATAGTGTCTTCCCTCCATGCAGGCATCTATGCCCCCTTCTTTTGACAAGAGCACCTATGAGTGACATTTCCCAGAGAACCATCCCTAATCTCTATCCTTCGAGTGGGTGGAGCTTCACTGAGCTCCAGGATGTACCTGTGGTCCTGTCCTGCCCAAACTGAGTGCCAGCTCCTATGGTCTCAGCAGCTGGGCCAGGAGGGAATATGCACTGAGCATGGACCAGCAAAGTAGCTTCAGGACTTCTGCTCGAAGCGTCCAGCATGGGGTGGGATTACTCCTTTGTGGGTGAGGATCCAAATATGGGCCATCTTGCTGTTGCTGGGGAAGGGAGAATGAGAATGAAGCCGACACAGAACAGGAGATGGAAAGGGGCAGGTTTCTGAAGATGCTGCTTGAGTGCTGCTACATCAGTACTTAACATGATATGTATCCCCTGGACTTTTCATTTTATGAATTAATAAAATTTCCTTTTGACTTGAACCACTTTGTACTGCTTTCCTGTCCCTTGCTACCAAAAAGTCCTGGCAACAAACATATTCACGATTAACTTTCAGCTCTGGGATGGCTCCTGATAGCTGGCTAGCCCAGCCATTACCCCACCCTTCCTCTTGACAGCTGGAATCCACCTTCTACCACGGAGTCCAAAAATTCTGCATACCTGCTTTCCTGGCATTAGTGTCTGAGGAAAGACTGCTAGGTGCCAGTGAGAAAGTCCCCTAATAAAAAGAAATGCTTACGAGGAAACTTCCTTTGGCTGATGCTGAATAAGGCTGGGTTGACATATGATGTCAGAAGCTATAGCAGCCACCTTGATTCCATGAGAAACAGGACTAAAGACAAAGACAAAGCTCTGAGGATGCTGGAAAGATGACAGACTAAGCCTGGGTCCCTGCTAGTGTCACTGAATCAGCCCTGGAACTACTTACCTCCTAACTTCTTGTTATGTGAGCTAAGAAAGCTCTGAATTTAAAGCCACTTGGCTTGGATTTTCTGTTACTTACAGCCTAAACACCATAACTAATACAAGCTCTCCTCTTTTAGAACTCATGTCAGTGGTTGAATGTTTTCCTGTATGGTTGTCCCCAGAATTTGAGGGGACAGATATCAAAATCTGAGGATGCTCAATCCTTATATGAAACTGCATTGTATTTTACATAAAACATGTGCATATCATCTTGTAGGGTTTTTGGTTGTTTTTCTTCAGTGCTGGGGATGGAACTTAGGGCCTCCTATGTGATAGGCAGCCCTCTACAACTGAGCTATACCCCCAGCCCATTTCATATACTTTAAATCATCTTTAGATTACTTATAATGCTCAAAATAATGCAAATGTCACATTAACAGTTGTGCTTTTTAAGGAACAATGATGAGAAAAGTACCTATTCAGTGCAGTTGGTTATTTTTTTTTCTTGGTGGGACTGGGGTTTGAACTCAGGGCTTCACGCTTGCAAAGCAGGTGCTCTACCACTTGAGCTACACTGCCAGTCCATTTTGCTCTGGTTATGTTGGAGATGGGGGTCTTGTGAACTATTTGCCTCAAACCCCTAGCCTCAAACTGTGATCCTCCCAATCTCACCCTCCCAAGTAACTAGGATTACAGGCATGAGCCACCGGTGCCCAGCTTTTCATAGTATTTTTTTATCATTGCCTCTTTAGGGTAACCAGAGAATTCTAAATATATGTAGAACAAGAACCAGAGCCCTGTTTGAAGGGCCCCTCTGTAGACCCCAGGCAACTGCAATGCCCTGGACCCCTGATAACAGAAACACCTTGCCTGTGACGGTGATGCTTCCAACCTCCAAGCTCAGGTTTGAGAAGGCATTCTTTACCAACATGGTGACCAGAAAGGTACCCGCAACACAAAGGGTGAAGGGCTAGAGTTACGGCGCCATCACTGACAGCTCAACCCTTCCTGAGACATCTCTGCCAGCGAGGGTTTCCCCTGTCCAGTCAGAGGGGTGTTTCTGAATCTCTCTCAGCATTTAATGAACCCCTGCTGTATGTACACTGAGCATGGCAAGGCTCTGGGGGGACACAGAGATGAAGGAACATGGTCCCTGTCCTCAGGGGCCATATCATCTATCTAGTGATACACAGACAGTAGGTGCCACACCCTGGAAGGACTTGACATAGGGACATAGTGGGCTTGGGGGTACAGATCACTTCGACCTCAAGAGAGAAAGAAATGGTTCATGGGTTGAAGCCAGAGCTGGAACTACATTTTAAAGGATGAGTCAGATTAGAGATTCCAGCAAGGGAAAGATGTGACAGGATTGTAGACAGGGTCAAGAGGAGAGAGAGGTTTGGAAGGTTTATTTGGAGAAGGTGACTAACACATTCACATCTCATTCCTTCTCCCTTTGTGGGACAGAGTGATGAGGAGGGGCCTTCCTTCTGTTCCCAGCCTAGAGAGGTCTTCTAGAGAGACCTTTCCTTGGAAAGCTAGCTTGTATTCTTTGAGGTTGGGATGCCATAGGCAGGCTCCTTATGCCTTGTAGGAGTAGTCTGTGGTGGAGGGCAGAGAGGGAGAGAAAAGGTGAAGGGAGAGAGTGAAGGGCTGGTCAGTGACTGGGAAATACCCAGGGCTGGCTAGAAGTAGACAGAATTGGTAAGATTTTCCTATGTGCCAGATAAGGGCCTTAGGGAGTGAGGCTGCTGCAGCTGGGAGGGAGGAGGGAAAGGCCAGGAGAGGCACCTGCTGTGCAGATATGGCCAGCTGAGTGACCATTGTGGGAGCTGTGGCCCGGAAGGGGCCTTGGGAGCCCACAGTCACTCCCACAAGAGGCAGCTTCAAACATTTGCTGGGCTGGAGACAGCCAGGCAGGACCAAACTGATACCACCAGGTGCAAACAGTCCATCCTATCCCACCCTCCAGCTGCCCTTTCCCTGCAGTAAACCAGATTCTGTTTGTCTTAGGGAAAGGAAAATTGTGTCATCATCTGAGCATGAGTGAGAATGTCAATCAGTAAGGTTTAAATTTCCCCCACCAAGTAACTTGTATAGTAGTGATGGGAAACAAAACCCAATTGGCACGTGGGTTGTAGCCTCTGCATTGTGTGTCCTTCCTGTTTCAAGTGGGACCCTTAATATCTGACAGTTTCAGGAATTTACTGTTCCTTCGGCTAGGCACCAAGCTGAGGGCCTGGGAACCCCACACCTGCCAAGTTACCATTTCCTTACACACCTCTAGGGGGAGCTGCATGGAAGGTCCTGGGTATGCAGGAGAGTCTTGTCTCATTGCTGCCTGCTGATCTCATCCCTCTGCCCTCGAGGGCCCTCAGTTGCTTCCAGATGCAAATTTGTGCTGTGATCTCTGCCCCCGGTTGGTGCCAGCCTCATCCCGACACTTCCTCTCCCCACTCCCTGTCTAGTGCAAACCATTCAGTTTTTCACCTCTCTCCATGGCATATCCACAGTTTCTGAAACCATCCTCTCCTCCAGAAATGTGGGAAGAAATCTGAACCCACCTGCTTTCTTTCAGTAGTGCTCAAAGGGGCTGTTGGGCAGAGTCTGGGGACATTTTTAGCAGTCATGACTTGGGGCTCTGATGCTACTTGCATCTAGTGGGTGGAAATCAGGGTTGGTGCTGAATGTCCTGCCGCACACAGGACAGCCCCTGCTTTATGAGGAGTTTTCCAGGTAGAGAGCCCGTGCAGCTGTAAGCTCTTTGAAGGCAGATAATATGTGTCTTCTCTCTACTTGGAAGGAAGGACTCAGGTAGGATAGCCAAGTGAGCCATGGTGGTACCCAAAACACCACCAAAAGCTGCTCTGGCACCAAGTCAGAGAGGGAAGAAGAGGGAAGTTTGGAAGGGGAGCCACCAACCCTGAGTACCTTCAACAGGAAGTGTCACATGGTAAGTCCCAGATGGCTCCCCAAAACGCTCTTCCTTCTGGGAGAAGTTTGCATTGAGTCCCACCACCTCAAAGGTTAGCTCCTCCAGGGTTCCATTAGCCACTGAGACATTGATCAATAGGTCCTGTCCAAGCTGCACATGGTCAGAACCCCAGGAGGCCTCCAGCCCCGACAACAACTCCACAAAGTAGACGGTGACATTTCCAGAAGGTGCAGAGGTGGTGCTGTTGCTGACGGCTTGGATCTCCAGGTGGTGTGTCCCAGGGCCCATCAGCTCCTGGGTTTCTTTGTCCAGGGTCAGATTGTAGGGTAGCAAATCCCTCTGGGAGGTAAACTCAGCCAGAGTTATGTTACCCAAAAGCACAGTATAAGTCACCCCTGTCCCTAGATGGGGTAAGAAAAATGTAAGAAGACTGTTAACCACTATGCAGCTGGTTGTGTTGTGATAATTCAAAGTCAAGTACTGATGTCGGATTCTGGATATAGACATGGACAGGGATTTAAAGAAATATGGAAGGCTAGTCCACCCTCCCAAATGTTAACAGAGGTCATCTCTGGGTATTGGGTTAATAAATGATTTTTTCCTCTTTGGGTCCTCTCTGTGCATTTGCATATTCTAATTTATTTATACTATGCATGTGTTATCCTTGAACCTAGAAGGCTGTTGCTAGGGATATCCCTGGGGAGGAAGCTGAAAAGGCAGGATCTCCTGGGTGGACTGATTTTTGTGCACAAGTATGAGCCTCATATCTTGCTTTTGCAGGGGAGTGGGTGAAGGTGTTTCCTTCAACCTCCACTGGTGACTTCCTCAAAGCTGACCAATGAGCACTCAGCCTGTTTTCTGTAAGTGGGGGCTCCCTTACGGTACACAGATGGTTGTCATAGCTAGTTGCTAAACACTGTGGTTGACCTGAAAATCTGACTTATACCAACAAATTAGGAGTCTTCCCAAGAGAAACCGAGGTAGTTTATTTCTTGTTTGGATGGTGATGGTGAAGGTGACGATGATGACAATGATGGTGATGATGATGATGACATAAGCTCCATGAGAGCTGGACATGCCATCCAAGCTTTCATGTTTACTGTTGCCTCTTTTGCACCTAGGAAAGAGTTGGCACTTAACTGTATTTTTAGACTGAATAAATTAAGTGTAAAGTTTCTCCATCTGCACATATCAGTCATCTTCAGTCAACAAACCCACAAGTAAAGGAGTCCCATGAGCACTGTGGCAAAACCCATGATAACTCCATTAAGTGACTGCTAGAGTGAGATGTCAAACTGAGTCATGTCCTCGTCTCCATAGCTCTGTGCTGTACCAGCTAGGTCAGCTGGTTTTGGTTCAGATCTCAAACCAAACCAAACCTCATCAAAAGATATTGCCTTGGATAAGGATGGGTATTAACCAGGAAGGTCTCTATTGAGAGAAGTGGTGAAATTGTGTGAGCACCAACCAATTAATATGGATGCTCTGAGGAATCAGAATGGACACTGTGGCAATCAGAATGAATTTGGGGACAAATTAGAATGAATGCCATGACCATCAGAGTGAATCAGAATAGATGCCATGACCAATTAGAATGGCCACCTTGACCAATCAAAATAGACATGATGACCAATGAGAATGGCCTCTGTGACCAATCAGAATGGACTCAAGGCCTAACAGCTTGTATGGCCGTACCAGCTTGTGCAGCTGAGCATTGGCCCTGACTGGAGCAGCATCTTTGTGCAAAGCTGGTTGATTCTGACTGTGCTGAGATGGGCTCAGACTCAGCTGGCAGTGCTCCCAGTCTCACCTAATCCTATTCAAACCCCCAACAAGACATGGGGTGACAGTTCAGTTCCTGAGACAGGGCTATGGCATGAAAAGAAGGACTTGGGAATGTTGGGCTTACTAGACTTTGACTTTGGGCAAATTTCTGAACCTTGCTGCCATTTCTTCATCTACAATATGGAAATAGTACTGGTGGGCAAAGCACTTAGAACAGTGCGTGGCACACATAGGTGCTAAATAAATGAATAAGTGGTAGCTAAAAGGCCCACTCAGTAAGTGATTGCTGTTATTCTTTATTAAAGCCTGGAGTTAGCCAGATAGACTTGGAGGGAATCAAGAATTCAGCCGTTTGCCTTGACCTTCTCAGTCCTGCAGACTCCCTCCATCGAGCTCCACCTGAATCCACAGGGGATCCCCGAAGACAGTCCGGCAGAGAAGGCTGGCCCCGGACCTGGACAGGCCAGCACACCCAGTGACCCTGAGGCTCTCCATCTTGTCTCGCAGTGTCAGCTGCCTCTGAGCTGTCACATGCCACTCACTCGTTGTGCACTCGGCAAACACAGTAAATTCCCCAGGAGATGTGAACTGGTGGGTCACGTTGCTGGACACACTGCCGGCCACAGTGAGAACGTTATCATGCTGGGTACACAAGCACACACATTCACACATGCACTCACACCTCCCCTGCTGTGCAAAAGTGAAACAAGAAAGGAAAAGATGCTACCTGCCATGCCCAACCTCAGAGTTAGGGAAGGGTCACACTGACAGGTCCAAGAGCAGATCAGGTGTGGTAGAAACAGCACAGCTGTTTCTAAAGGGCAGGGAGCAGGGAGGTGAGTGTCAGCTGCAAGTCCCTTTGCTGCTATTGGCTTCTTGTGAGTCATGTAAGCTCTCCCACCCCCTACACCCCCAACACCCCACACACATGCTCTCTGGGCCTTCTTGCTCCATCTGTGAAATACAGTGTTCCACACTACCTTTCTCAGCCTTACTTTCTCCATCTAAAAAATGGGATCAGAATCTGAACGTATCCAAGTTACGGGCATGTTTTGCTTCTCATTTTACCCAGAGGACTAGCTAAAAAAATTCTCATGTGACCCACAAAGATTCCCAGACCTTTCACTTTGGGAACACAAAAGGGGACTCTGGTTATTAGAAAACGCTGGAGAAAAGAGACATAGAGAAAAAAATCCCCTAATCCCATGTGTGAGCCAGCACTAATCATGAACTCACCCCCCAAACTGCACATGTGCACAACAGACCTGAAGAAAGTGAAAAGGCTCTGTGGACTACACTGCAACCTGAGCCATGACCTGCGTGGTGCATGAGAGGGACAGACCTGAGCAGCTCTGAACACTGAACCAACTTGACACCACTGCACACAGAAGAAAAGCCACATGCATGCTCTAAACCTACCCAAGTCTGCCTGTTAAAACAAAACAAGTAAATTTTAAAATCAACATTATCCAGAAGAATTTCACAAGACCCAGAATCTCAGAACTTACTGCTTGAAATGTTCATAATACAATCCAAAATTACTTGATATACAAAGAACAAGGAAATGTGACCAAATTTCAAGGGAAAACATATAGATGGTCAGCCTTGAAATGACTGAGCTGATGGAGTTATCAGATGAAGACTTAAAAACAGTTGTTATAAGCATGCACCATTAGGTACAAGTAAACTCTCTTGAAATAAGTGGAATGACAAACATTTCTGCAGAGAAACAACAACAACAACAACAAAACACATTTTTTTTAAAAAAAGAACCTGATAGAAATTTTAGACTTGAAAACATGGTGTCTGCAATAAATTCTCTGGATGGAGCTGGGATATGGATGGCTCAAGTGGTAGAGTTCCTAGCAGACCATAATGACTTACTGGATATAAACTTACTGGATAGATGTAATAGCAGAATCAGGATGAAAGATGGAAATGCCAGTGAATTTGAACATAGATCAAGAGAAATTATCCAATTGAAGAACAGAGAGAAAAATATTAAAAATTTTAAATGAGCAGTGTCAGCAACCTGTGCAACAATATCAAAAGATCTAACCTTTTGTGTCACTGGAACACCAGAGAGGGAAAAGAAATGTTGTATAAAATATATTTAAAGAAATAATGGTAGAAAACTTCCCAAACATGACAAAGACATATATTTGCAGATTTAAGAAACTTGGTGAGCTCCAAATGAGGAGGAGGGATGTAAAGAAAACTACATTCACATGCACAATAATGAAACTGAGGAAAAAGTCAAAATAAGGGAGAAAACCCCCTTAAAAGTAGCCAGAAGAAAAGGGGGCATGTTGCATGTAAGGAAAACAGGGATGTGAGTGACTGTGACTTTCTCATCAGAAATCATAGTGGTTGGACAGTGAAACAGCAGTTTTAAAAAGCTAAAAGAAGAGCTGTCAACATAGAATTCTAGGTTCAGCAAAAATATCTTCCAGGAACTAAGGCAACTGAAGACATTTTTGGGAAAACTAAGAGAATTTGTTTCTAAAAGAAACACTAATGAGAGTTCTTCCAGTGGAAGGGAAATAACATCAGAGGGAAATGTGGAATTTCAGGGATGAAGGAAGAGCACAAGAAATGCTAAAGATCTGCATAAATAAACAGACTATTTGTCTCTTCTTAAATTCTTTCAAATGCAGGTGGCTGTTGAAAGGTGTTTTCAATGTACATGGATGGAGAATCATAGCATACAGGAGGGTGGGTTAGGAAGACCTATTTTCTAGTAAGGCTTCAATACTTGACTTGGAGTGGTACAGTGTTAACCCTGCTCAGACCCAAAAGGTTAGGTGTGAATACTGTAAGCCTTGCAGAAACTACTAAAAGAGTAACATGAAGAGATACAGCCAAAAGCCAATAGGTAAGTTAAAGAGGAATGCCAGAAAGACTCAAATGATCCAAAAGAAGGCAGGAAGGGGGAGCAGAAGAAAAAATAAACAGAGGCAGCAAACATAAAGCAATTTTTAAAAATGGTATACTTAGGCCAGGTGCTGGTGGCTCTTACCCATAATGCTAGCTATTTGGATGGAGGCAGAGATCAGGAGAGTCACAGTTCAAAGCCATCCTGGGCAAATAGTTCTTGAGACCCTATCTCAAAATGAAAATATCCAACATAAAATATGAGACTACCCAACACTGGCAGAGTGGCTCAAATGATAGAGCACCTGCCTGGCCCAAGCATGAGGTCCTGAGTTCAAACCCCAGAACCACCAAGTAAATAAATATAATACAAGGCTTAAATATAACTTTTTCAACAATTACATTAATTGTAAATGGGTTAATCACTCTAATTGTACCACACTGGATCTTAAAAAAAAAAACCCGACCACATGATTTCTGCAGGAAATTCACTTTAAACACAATGATATAGCTAGATTAAAGTAAAAGGAGGAAAGGAAGATAAAGATGTAGCTCAGTGATAGAGGACTTGCCTAGTACTCACAAGGCTCTGGGTTTGATCCCCAGCACTGCAAAAAGAAAAGAAAAAGTTGAACAATATCAGAAAATGTAGATTTTAGAACAAGAAAACAATAACCTTCTATGGAAATGAGAAGGATGCTTTTGAATAGCAAAAGTCAGTCTGCATTTCAGTGATCTGACTGGAAGAAGCCATTTATCCCATTCTCTGAAGTCTGATGTCAACTGAAATTGCCCAGGACTAAAGGCAGAGAAATAGATTTTTCCCAATTTCTCTCCCAGGGATCTTACCCAAGGGAGAAAACTACAAAGTGGTTTTAGAAACTGCTGCCAGCAAAGCAGAGACATGCTCAGAATATAAAAAGACGGAGACAAGAACTTAAAAATCCATTCAGTGATCCTATGACCCAGCAATTCCTTTCTTGAATATAAATCCAATAGTATCATGTGCTTATATGTATATATAAACACCAAAAGATGCACTAGAATGTCCATGGCAGCACAGTTTGTAATAGCCAAAAATAAGAAACCAAACAAATTTTTATCCAGGCTAGGATGGATAAGAAAGTTGAGGTATATTAGCACAGTGGAGTGTTATACAATGGTGAGGAAAAAAGAAATCACAATTATATAGGACATGGATAATCCCAAAAACGTAGTGTTGAACAGAAATCAGACACAGAGTGCATGTATACTTCATAATTCTATTTAATGCATTTCAAACACAGATACCCTAACTTGTGATATTAGGAAGTTAGGATAGGGGTTATCCTTGGGATGGAAGACTGGAAAGGACCTGGAGGATTTCAGAGAGGCTGGCCATGTTTGTTTCTTGATCTAAGTGCTGGTTACATGTGTGTGTTCATTGCGTAAAAGTGAGTTGAGCTTTATGGGGGTGGGGATTGTGGGGGTTTTTTAGTGCTGGGAGTTGAATCCATGGCCTTGAACATGCCAGCCCAGCGCTCTGTCACTGAGCTACATCCCCAGCTCCGAGATGAGCTGTATTTTTATGCACTTTTCCATACATATATTGTATTGCAAGAGAAACTTAAAAGTCAGGTGCTGGTAGCTCATGCCTGTAATCCTAGCTATTGAGGAGGCAGATATCAGGAAGATGGGGGAGTTTGAAGCTAGCCTGGTCACATAGTTTACAAGACCCTTTCTTCAAAATACCCAACACAAAACTGGGCTGGCAGAGTGACTCAGAGACAGAGTACCTGCCTAGCAAGCGTGAGGCCCTAAATTCAAACTCCACTACCACAAAAAAAAGTTAAAAAATTAGTTCAAGACTGTCACTCACTAATTTGCACTTATTGGTGTTATATTTGCCTTTAATGGGATGTAGCTTTCCTTTGAAAAGAACATGAAGAAGAAAATTCACATTTCTGGTCTTGACAAATAATGAATGTCTGACTGTTAGGTACACCATAGCCGGTGCCATTTTGTTAATCACCTACAAGTGGCCATCCAGGTTGGCAGATGAAGCCATCTGGCCAAGTTGGGCAGTATGAAAGAGCAGAAAGGGTCGAAGCTGGAAATTACATCTCCTGGGACCCACGGGTGATCTGCATGACGAGTGTGATATTTATCACAACTAACCTCTCTTGAGCTTTGGTTTCCTAGGCCACAAAATGAAGGCAATCCCAATCTTGGCTAAGCTGCTGTAAGATTTAGAGGAGACAAAGGTTGACAAATTATCTGCTATGCAAGAATTCCAAATCTTTCAGTTTTTTTATAGTAAGATGACATGTGCCACTTAGCCTATTAAAATAAAAGTATTATATACTCTTGTGTAATATTAATACAATAGTAAGAATTGCCTATTTTTTAGGATCAACTCTGCCAGTTATTTTTTTTTGTCGTAGTCTCTTATACTCCATAAAATTGACTAGTAAATATTAGTAACACTAGCAATAATATTACAACATAGATCAGGGAATTCCCAGGCCTAAAGATTCTTCTCTCTGGATGCTGCAGTGTCTTGTCCAGACTCCATCCTTCAAGACTGAGGCACGAGTGCCTCCAGGACCCACAGTGGAATCCATCTCCAGGCAAAGGGAGTGGACTCACACAGGGAAATGTCCCCTCCCCGGGGACATTCTGCCTCCAGGGACTGCTCAATGCTGGGGTATAAATGTCCACCCTCTGGCCTCAATTTAGGACGACTCTGAGAGCCACCTCAGCTCAGGGGCTCTGTGGGATCGGCAGGGCTTCTGTTATTACCGCATCCCAATGCCCCATCATAGCACCCCCACCTCCTGCATTCCTGTTTCCTAGTGCTTAATCTCCATAATCCCAGCTGGCTCCAGGTGGAAGAAGAGCTATCCAAATACACTGTGCTCTTTCAGGCCCAGGCTGGCCTTTTTCCCTAGCCCCACTGTTCCTGCCTTAGAGACCTGCCTCCACCCCCAAAGTACTTCTGCTCTAGAGGGCTCTCTGACCATCACCATCCTGCTACATCTGAGTCACTCAAAGGCTTGTGTCAGCCCCTCCCTTCAAGACTGCTCCAGTTTAGGCAGCTCTGAATAAGGGCAGAAGAAGAACATCAATCCCCAGATCTGCCAGAAGGTGGCGCCTAGTTACCCAACGCTGGAGTTGGACGAATTCTGCCTCAGGCAAATTGTCCCATTAGGTCCATAACACAATCTCAGAAATGCAGTAAAGCTTTCCAGGACAGAGAAACAAAACAGCCCACCATGCAAATGAACACGAGGCATGGAGCATGTGAAGAGAGAAGATGGCTTTTAACAGAGAAGGCTCTGCCTTTTGTTCTGCTGGTTCCACTTGAGGGTGGATCGTCTCCACCCCCAGCCCCCCACACACTTTAGCACATCCATGTATCTATGATGGACACAGAGGATCCGAATTTAAAATCTCTACCTCTTGGACTAATGAGGAGTGAGCAAAAGCAGGAGTCTGTACAAACACATGAAAGAAAAGTACAGTGATAGTCACGTAAGGTGTGTGGATCCTGCTGTGCTTTAAATTCATGCAGTTTTCCACATTGCAAATTGAATGCTGAAGCTGCTCACATGGATGAGAAGGCATCAGAAACACCCCTCCCCCAGTAATAAGATGACGGAAGAAGCTATGCGGTAGCTTCAAGGTTCACCAAATCTTTAAGGAGACGAAATTGGATCGCTCCGGTGTGGTCATGGAAGAAGGGTATGACATCATCTATTCCTTTTAAGAGAGTTTTTTTTTTTAAATGTGAGGGTATTTTACTTAGAGCGAATGCCCAGAGAAATGGCATTCTTATTGTTTCTGTTAGATTTCAATCACATGAACTCGCTGTCTAAAATGAACAAATATAAGCATCTTCCCCATTTGCTTCTGAAAGCGTTGTTTGTTTATCACTGGAAAGTGCTCCTGTCACTTAAAGGTCTTAGTAGGGCTGCACACAGTCAATTTTGACTTATGACAAACTCAAGTTGTGTAAGATTTGAGGGCTGAAAGTGTGCAATTTAACAGGGTGGCTCGTGCTTATGACCCAGCTACAAGGGAAGTGTAACAGGAGGATCTCAGTCCAGGCCAGCCTAGGCAAAGCCAGGAGACCCTATTCAAAAAAATAACTAAAGCAAAAAAATTTTAAAAAGGACTAGGAGATTGGCTTAAGTGGTAGAGCACCTGCCTAATTAATGTAAGGTCTTGAATTCAAACCCTAGTACCACACACACACATACACACACACAAGATTGTGTAACTTAGCGTCCATTATTTCCTTTATAGATGGTAGCAAGCAGAAAAAAAAGAAAACGTGGGATTTTGTATCATTTAGACATTTCCCCTCTCACAGCATCATCACGTATAGTTTTTCATTTTCTACCATGAAACAATATGGCAGCCATCAATAGATATGACAGGAAAGGAAATGGAAAGCCAGCAGTGCCCAGGAGCTGTGAGGGTCTGAATCACATTAGCAGCAGCTGGGATCATAACCCCAGCCTCAGGACCTCCAGCTGGAGCCCATTTTACTTGGAACTGTGGTGCAATGTCTGTGGTGCACATGTGCCTCACTCTCTTGTTTCCATTGGGTGGTGCTGTGCAAGATAATTTTCCCCTGGTTTTTAGAAACAAAGCAATTGAGGCCCACAGAAACACAGCAGCATTGCCCAAGACACACAGCTATGGAGCGGTAGAAACTGATGCAAGCCAGGACTAGTGAGCATTGATGTTCAGCCCCTTAGGGCACAGCGTGCAGCACTGGGCCTGAGGACACTGTTCTGAATCCTCCAGGGAGCAGAGTTAACTCTCCACCTTTATAGAAAGAAACTAAATACAATTCATAACAGTTCATTCTCACTGCTAAGAACCTTTCCATCACTAGAGGAAAGAGTCCAGGACAACCTTGTGGGTGATAAATGGCACAGGTCTGCAGCTGACACTCAGCTGATCACTAGACAAGTGAGGGAGCAAGGCTTTCTTTGACCAGCCAGCTCCAGCAGAGTCAGCCCAGAAAAGAAAAGCTATCCATTCCTTCCAAGAACCATGGGAAATAACTACTGTTTTAAGTCACTAGTTTGGGGGCAGCTTGTTAAGAGGCCAAAACTGACTGATACAACCTGATTCAAGGCTCTTACCTGGGAGGGTAGTAGGGATCCAGAGTGCGGCCATCTCCCATGCTGAGTACACAGGACAGGTTTCCGACATAGGGAGAGAGGAGCCATGTCAGAGAGATGGTGACGTTGTCAAAGACAAAACTTACACTGGGCACCACCAGCCTCAGGCCTGCAGATCCAAACACAAGGTCCAAGATGCCTCATGCCCTCTCAGAGCAAAGTTCCACATTCTGCTTAAAACTTAACTGTCCTCGATCCACCTGGATGCTATTTTAAGTGAGGCAAGTAATGTTTTGTTTTAGTTTTACTTTTGAAATTTCTTTTGAGATTTATGTTTCATGCATAGGTAATACATGACAATGACACAGAACTGGAAATGTATCCAGGATATAGAGTGAGAAGCAAGCCTCCCCTGCACATCTGTCCATCTCTCAGCCCCCGTTCTGCTGCCACTGCTACCATACCCAGAGATAGCTACAGGTACACAAGCACATATGTGGTTTTTTGAGCCACTGATGCCTGTTTATTTTTTATAGTTTATAAAAAGTATGCATAAATACATTCAATCATATGTGTCTATGCAAACATTTTTAAAAGCAGGAAAGAGTTTATTTTTCTAAGTAATTAATGGTGTTTCCTTATGGGGAGTAGGATCATTGAAGGGAAGAATTTTTCCTTCTTAATTATAAAACTTTCATAAGTTGTGATAGTGTTGGTTATCTTATGATGTTTAAGATTTGCATTTATCTAAAGTAAGAGATCTTTTGGCTCTTCCAACCAAGCAACCTTGTTTTTGTCATTGGGCCACCCCTATGACATCTCCTTTGAAGAGTCCTGGGTTAAATTTTGTTGTCGTTTAGCTTCTGACCTAGCTTCTGCAGTAGAAGCTGCAAAACTTTACCCCGAGAGACTGTTTTGGGGGAAGAAGTCTCTCAGCATACAGTAGATTGGCCCAGGTGGGTGGCTCCTGCCTCCTGCCCCGGAAATCCTGACATACTATGGAAAAAAAGAAATCCTTAAGCCCAAGCAAGTTGGGGACTCACCTTCCTGGCACTGGTAGTGGACCCACAGGTAGCTGCCCAGAGTAGAACACAGGTCTCCAAAGTAGCTTCCATCTGCTGCCACCTGGCATGCCTGCAGCCCCTGGCACTGTCCTAGGAAGGCCCCCCATTCCGGTGGAAGCAGGAAGGGTGGGCAAGACAAAAGGACATGCCCTCAGCAGAGCTTCACACATGACTTTCTCCTCATGTGTTCTCTTACAAGCATTGCCCAACAAATGTCTGTTGGGAGCTACTGGAGACAAGGCCCTGGCCTAAGGACTAAGAGGACAGGGAAGTTGGATTCCTGCCCTGTAGCAGCCCAGGTCTGGCACACTGCTGTCAGACCTTAGCATGTGCCAGATCCCCTGGAGATCTTGGTAGACATGGAGCTCTAGGTCCACCTGCAGGGGTTCTGATTCAGCAGGTCTGGGTGAGGTCCAGGATTCTGCTGTTCTAACAAGCTTCGGAGTGGTGCTGGTACTGCTGACTCAGAAACCCATTCTGAGACTCACTGGTCCACTAGCATCTAGTCAGATGGCCTAAGTAGAAACTTACATGCTGAGAACCAGCGAGGATGGGTAAGATTAGGAATCCTGTGTGCATCGGGGTATCAGATACCTGCAAAGAAGGAATGGGGAACCCACCCAAGGAAAACCACAGTCATCCAACACTTCTCCCTCTTGCCCATGTGTTAGATGCCTGCAAAGGAGCCTGGGAGAAGGGGACAGTGACACTGTGACCTGAGAGTATCCTGGTGACCCTGCATCCTCTGCCTCTCAGAAGTCCATACTTGTTCCAGGCCTTGAAATATTTAAATGCACATGTAATTGTTTAGCCAGGCACCTTCAGATGCTCCCCTGGGCCTGAATTCCTGCCCTGCTTTCCCTGTTTCCTGTGCCCTGTTGTTAACCATCTGCCCCTGACTCCCCAGTCAGCTCTCTCACGAGTGCCTCACCTGTATGTCTAATTGCCTTGAGATCTCTACATGATCATCACAGGATATCCAGACACCTCATATCCCAAATCTTGGTCTCTGATATGGACTGAATTGTGCCTCCTAAAAGGTATGTCAAAGTCCTAAACCCTGGAGCCTGTGAATGGGACCTTATTTAGGAATAATGTCTTTGCAGATGTCATTAAGTTAAAATGAGGTCATTAGGGTAAGTAAGCCCTTAATCAAATATGACTGGCATCCTTGTGAGACAACGGGCATGGGCACCAGACACACAGGGAGAGAGCAGCATGAAGAAAAGGAAGCAAAGATTGGAATGGCACATGCAAAAACCAAGGCCGCCAAGGGTCATCAGCAAACACCAGACACCAGAAGAGGCAAAGGAGGTTTCTCCTGGAGCGTGACCCTGCTGACACCTAGGTTTTGGACTCTGACCTCCAGAACTGTGAGGGAACAGAGTTGTGTAGTCTGATGCCCTCCTCCCAGTTGTGGTCTCAGTTTCACTGGCCCTAGAACACTCATCTGCTCTCCCTTTTTGACCCCTCCACCTCTGTCCTCTGCTCTTCCTCCCTCCCTCAGCCTCTCCTTTAGTCCAGCCTCCCTAGACACAGAATGGTCATCCTAGACTTCCATCAGCGAACCATCCTTCCAGTTTTCCTCTAGGTCTAGAATCCTCCCATTTCTCTCCAGCTGCCATTGCACCACCATCATCTCCTACCTATCAGCCTCCCTGTTTGTCTCCCAGGGACTCACAGCAGCCTTAGGGTGGTTCTAAAACCAACTTCTGCATCCCTCCCTTTCTCAGGATCCTCCAGTGCCTCACGATGTCAGTGGAATAAAGTACAAGTTCCTTGGCTGGGTCCTCATCTCTATCTACATTAGTACTACTAGGTGTTATTACAATTCCTGCCCCACCAAGCTCTCTCTCACCTCCAGCACCTTACACATGTCCTTCCCACTTCCCTGAGCACATACCTGTGCTTCTGGCTATCTCCTACCTCTCACCTCCTCTGGGAAGTTGGCCAGTCAGTAGACTCTTGGTGCCCAGTTCTCTCTCCCCCTTCCCTGCTCTACACTGCAGGGAGCTGTATTTCCCACATTCCCTGGCCCACTGGCTTCCGGGTGGGCTTGGCCAAGCAGGCACTGCAGAGGAGTGGAGGGCCATGTGTTCATTTCCAACTGCCACTACAACACACCACCACAAACTAGTGCTTCAGACAACTCAAATGCATTACTTCACAGTTCTGGAGGTCAGAAGTCCAAGTGGGCTGGGCTCTGCTTGGGGTATCACAGGGCTGCTCTTCCTGCTGAGGGCTCTGGGGAGGGCTCTGCTTCCAATAGCATTTTTATTGGCAGAATTCTGCCCCCAGATCCTAAATGTCTCTCAGTCCTTGCATGTGGTCCCTGTGTCTCAGATCCAGCATTAGTGCATCAAATCTGTCTCACACCTAAAACTGCTGTGACTTCTCCTCCTTCCATGTCTTTCTTTGTTTCCAGCCGGAGAACGTTCTCTGTTTTTAAGGGCTAGTGTGTTCAGATTGTGTCCCCAACTGGATAAGCCCAAGCAGGCTCCCTCTCCTAAAACCAGCTGAGTAGCACCCTTGATCACATCTGAAAAGTTCCCGTGCCATGTGAGGTGGCATAGCCACAGGCATGGTGTCTTATCTGACCCACGGTTCCAGGGATTAGGGTGGCAGAACAGCCCCTGTGTTGCCTCTCAGCACTTCCATGACTTGGGAAAACAATCTCCCACTTAAACTCTGTTGAAAGACTAAACGTTTGTTTTTATTTTTTTTTTGAGATCGGGTCTCACTCTGTTGTCCAGGCTGGCCTTGATCTCTTGGCCTCAAGCAATCCTCTTGCCTCAGCCTCCAGAGAAGCTAGTACTATAGGCATACCCAGCTCAAAACACTTGTGAGAACTGGTTCTTTGAATTGTGTGTGTGTGTGTGTGTGTGTGTGTGTGTGTTGCTAGGAATTGAACCCAGGCCTGGCACAGGCTGGGCATGTGCTCTACCACTGAGACACACCCCCAGCCTCTCCACTCCTTCACCCCCCACCCTGCATGGTTTCTAATGAGACCCAGTTGGATGCTTTTCTTTCTTTTCTTTTCTCTTTTCCTTCTTTCCTTTTTTTTTTTTTTTTGTGGTAGTGGAGTTTGAACTCAGGACCTTGCACTTGCTAGGCAGGTTCTCTACCACATGAACCATGCTCCTAGCCCTTTTTTGCTTAATTATGTTTTGGATAGGGTCTCACATTTTTGCCCACAGCTGACATTGGTCCACAATCCTCCAATCTATGCCCACTTACCTAAGATTACAGACATGTACCACCATAACTGGCCTGATGTGGAGATAAAGGTCTCACTAACTTTTTGCCTTGGTTGGCCTTGAACCATGATATCTGCCTCCAGAGTAACTGGGATTACAGATATGTACCACCATACTCTTCCTAGTTAGGTACTCCTATATGATTCCATAGCACTAGGCTATCATCTCCAAAGGAGTGGGACATTTAATAAATGTATTGTTCACTAACCTGTCTCCACCACATAGAACTGTACCCTGCATGCAGCACACAAGGTAGTTTTTGCACGAGTAAATCCATAGCACCTTTTGCTCCCTTCTACTGTAGCATTTATTATGCTGTTAAGTAACTGCCTGCACAGACACATCTGTCTCCCACTGGACTTTGAACTCTTTGAAAAACAAAGTGTGTTTGATTCACCCTATATCCACAGAGGCCAGGATAGGACATAGCACGGTATCAGTGCTCAATAAATGTTTATTGGCCAACTGAATGAATCCGTAATCAGGGCCCTTGTATATAGATGGATCCCAGGGTCCTCCCAGGTCTTCTCCACTGACCCTTCCCAACAGGGTGCAAGGATCACCTCTAACATGCTCTCTGGAAGTGGCTGCCAGTTTCCAAGACTTACAGCTGAGCCTTTGAGGAAACAGGCTGCCCAGCCCCGGCAGGTCTTGGTGCTGAGGCTCCTCCATCAATCACCTGCCCAGCCAAGGCCCTTCCTCCTTGGAGGCCACAGCTCAGGATTGCTGGACACCAAGGAGAGCTGCTGAGAGCCACTGAGCTGATTTCAGCATTTCCTTTCTCCACGCCTGCTCTGAAGGGAGCAAGGGAACATGGTGGACACATGGTGGCAAGAGGAGCAAGGGGGCAGTTCTAAGAGGCTGAGCCATGCTCCCCCCAGGAAGAAGAGGCTCAGAGAGGACTGGGAATCACTCCCTGAGTCTTCACAGGGTCTTAGGATGGAGGCAGAACCTCACAGGGGAAATGCCTAGGTCATGTGTGGGTACACTGGGCTCCCCGTCTGGGCACACATTGCTAGACCACCTGCCTTCCCAGGTCCCTGTGGGCTGGACAGTGATCACCACAGCAGAAAACTTCCTGTGTCCTGGCTGATGGAAGTCTCTGAGGACTGCACACATCCCAGGAGGGTGTGGGGAGCCCCTAAAGTTCCTGCAATACAATCTTTGTTGCTGAGCAAAGGAAATTTCATCTGATTTAAAAAGCAAAGCCCTAGAGAAACTCTCCCACAGGAACAAGAGACACCACCAGGAATATCCGCCCAGCATTATTCACGATTCAAAAGTTGAGAAATCACCCATTCATCTCTCAGCAGGAGAGAAAATTATGGTACAAATGGACAATAAATGTACCGAATGGACTACAGCAACATAGATCAAGATGGACCATACGTCTCGGAAAAAACAGCATTGCAGAATGACACATCCAAGATGGCGCCATTCCTATAAACAGTACAATATTTGGGACACATAAATAAAAGGGAGAATAGAGAATCATACATATGTTAATCAACCCTGAATTCATGACAGAACCAGGACCAGGGAGGTCTACACAGTGGTCTTGAAATGGGTTTGGTTTTTTGAGGGAATCTTAAGCCAGTGTGGCTTGATGTTAAGATCTAACAAAGACAGCTAATAGCTCTCTAGGAGTTCTTCACAATATTTTTTATTCTCTATATATTTGAAATGTTTCAAAAATTTAAAAATTAGGTTAAGGAGGGTTGGGTTTGATGTGAGCTGTCCTGCTCGGCACTGTGGGTAGAAACTGGCCAGTTTTTCCACACTTTGAAGGCCTAAGTCATCTCTGAACAGCATTCGAACCTTCCAGAACCCTTTTCTGGGCACAGAAAAGTAGCAACTGCCCTCTGCTCCAGCCAGGCCTGGGAGCCCTGGGGACCTACGTGCCACTTCATCCTTGACACTGACCCAGCTGCATTCCTCCTCCAGGTCTGAGGGATGCCAGGTGCCCTGGGTGCAATAATGGGGGGTCTGTCGCCCGTAGAAGGCATCCTGGACCTGGATGACCTCCCCTGAGCCGCAGTGCATGGTGGCATTGAGGCCTTCACAGGCCAAGCTCTGGCCCACTCCTGCAGGAAAGGGAAGGTGACACCTTAGGGGGCACACAGTGGGATGGTAGGTGGAAGGAGAAACCTGGGAGCTAGAGACAGGAATCAAGGCAGAGATACAGAGCTTCACAGGGCAGAAGTTGGGGCAGAGGGTGGGGGAGAACCAGAGTCAAAAAGAAAGTTCCAGAAAAACAAGTGAAGTAGGAAAAAGACAGACAGGCACTTAAACAGGGAAAGAAGGAGACACTGGGACCAAGGTAGACAAAGGCGGAGGGAAACAGTGAGACCCACAAAGAGGCACAGGGCAGAGGCAGAGGCAAAGAACTGGAGAGCGTTAAGGGGAAAGGGGAAGGAAAGAAAGATCAAGAGAAACCTGAGTCAGAAAAGGAAGGAGAGAGAAAGAGGTCAGAGAGATGGAAGCCAAAGGAGGAGCCAGCTTACCAAACTCGCAGATGGAGGCAAAGGCCTGTATGCAATCCTCCGAGGCTGCCCACTCAGAAGAAGGGCCTCTCTCGATGTAGCCACAGGTATGGGGGGCAGGCGTGGCCTGGCCTCCCGCCAGTTGCTGTAGCTCACGTTTGAGGTGTCCAGCCATATCCCAGGCCCTGGATGGGAATAGGATCGCCAGGACTTGAGAGAAATCCCTTCTTAGCCTCCTTCATGTGGAGGGTTTACCTCAACCCAGCTCAACTCCTGGTATGCCATAGGTGATCAATCATTGCGGCTGGGAAAAGACCTCCTTTCTCCACACAAGTGAAGGGGCCTTCCTCCCCCTTAGCCTTGAACACTCAGACATAAAATCTGGGTCTCCAGATTGGAAAGCCATAACAGGTGCTCCATCCCCTGGTCACATGTGTCTGGGCAGGGCTGGGTTCAGATGAATCCATTCGCCCTGCTTCAGGATATCTCTAAGACTCAAAAATACTGCTGCAGATTTTGAGGAGAAGAGATTGTGTGTGTGTGTGTGGTGTGTGTGTGTGTGTTGTGTGTGTAATAGAGAAGCATTTTGAAGGTACTAGTGAGCTAGAAAACACAGACATAGAAAGTTACTATTAAGACTCAAAACCCAGGTGCAGTAGCACACACCTGTAAGTAATCCCAACCACTCAGGAGGTGGAGGCAGGAGGATCTCAAGTTCAAGATCAGCCTGGGCAAAGATAGTGAGACCCTGTCTCAAAGGCAAGTCTAGGACCATCTCTCAAGTGGTATCGTGCTTGCCTGACACGTGCAAGCCTTCAGTTCAATCCTCAGTACTAGAAAAAAGACTCAAAGAAGAGGATTATTAAATTTAAAAAAGAGAAGTCATGCCGAAATTTTTAAAATTTCAAGTGCTCTGAAAGGGTGCAAATGGAAACATGTTCCCTCTCCCAAGCTCTGTGCTACTCCCATAAATTAGTTTCTTGTAAATCATTCCAGGCTGAGCCTTACCCACATATCAGCATTTTGGAGTGCCTGAAATCTATGTAAGTCAGTGCTGTTGTGTTGCTCACAGGGTTCTGGCCCTGGATTCTTAAATCACATTAAGTCTTGCAGATTGCTACAAATTAGCCAAGTAGAGCTACATCATTTTCTGTAAAAGTCTCCCCTGGGAGACTTTAATAAACACGACTCTGGACGCTCCATGCACACAAAGTCACAATTGCCATAAGTCAGGAGACCATTCAAGAGACGTTGCTTGAACAGGCATCTTAAGGATTTGAACCCCCTTTGGCTGTGAGTTTCCCTAAATGAGCTTCCCCAAGTGTTTGTTTATTAAGACATTTCCATCCAACTGGTACATTTCTGTGGGTGCTCAGCTTGGACCAAGTTACTCATTTCTAAAACCCAGTAGTTTATACAGGAGCAAAGGGAGCCCCTGGCCACCAGTGGTACACATCAGAAGTTAGGCTTAGGAGTTGCTGTCTGACAGGCTGTAGACTACACTGCCCGTGCTCAACTGGGTCATCTGGAGCAAGTCAATTCCTCTCCTCATTTCCCTTGGTCAGTAAACAAGAGTAGCCATGCCTGCCTTGTGAGGGATATGAGGATCCCATTTTGGAAGTGCTTCCTTCTCTTGGGCTCATAGTCTAGACACCTGAAAAATCTCAGCCATGCTTTAAGTGCTCTTGTAAAGGGTAGTGGACAGGTTCCCACTGGTGCACAGAGAAGGGCTCATCTGGCCGCTGGGGTAGAGGAAGGGGTCCTCCCAGAGGGAAGGGGAAGGGAGAATTTTCAGGTCTCATCAAATGACACCATGAAATGTGAGTGGAACTATGCTAAACACTTTCCTTCCTTCCTTCCATCCTTCCTTCCTTCCTTCCTTCCTTCCTTCCTTCCTTCCTTCCTTCCTTCCTTTCCTATACTGGGGAAGAACCCAGGACCTCAGGTTAGGCTATGCCCCTAGCCCTTTCTTTGTATGTTGTTTCTGAGATAGGATTTCACTACCTTGCCTGGGCTGCCCCTGATCTTGCCCTCCTCCTGCCTTTGCCTCCTGAGTAGCTAGGATTACAAGCATACACTGCTGCTCTTGGTTTCTGCTTCAATCTCATAACAACTGGAAAAAGACATAAGGGCATGCTTTGAAAATAGTTAGGCCATTATATTCTGAGGCTGTTTTGTCATGAGAACAACAATAATAATTTTCTCACTGGTTAATGTAAGGATCAACATGACAATGACCATGAAGCACTCAGGAGAGTGCCTGGTACAATTCTAGCAAGAATCAAAGACATCAGAGCTAGTTTTGTTAGGTGCCTGCAGGGCGGGGATGTTGTTCAGTGGGAGAGCACTTGCCTTGCATGTCCAAAGCTCTGGACTCAAACCCCAGTCCTCCTCCCTGCCACGCAAGCATACAAATTGCACGCAAATGGATGTTTCTAGACTATCTTCCATGCTATGTATGGTGTATGAGTCATTTTATTTGATCCACAAAAACAACCAGAGAGAAGGTAGCCTTACCATGAGCATTAGGACACGTTAATTTGCTCTGGGTGAGAAGGTGTATCACAAGCTTCCTGTAAAACACAGCTACGCAGCACCTACCTCCTGAGGTCCCATTGGGTGCCGAGGTCCCTGTGAGTCCAATCCACCATTCCCTGTCCTGAGGGATGTGCCTTTGCAGAAACCGCTGGGTGTCTTCATCATGGATGAAGACCAAATGGCCTCCTTGCCCTTCACACCAGCTCTGAGCCCCATGGAAGGGACGTCCAAGTGGCACAAATTCATAGCAAGCATCTCTGAAGGCCACCTGGTTCTTAGAGCAAAAACCGTCCTCTTCTGGCTTAGCAGTGGTGGCCCCAAATCTCAGAGAGAGCCCCAAGAGTACCAAGCCTACTGTGTTCATCTTCGAACCACTGCTGGGGCTATGATGGCACTCCCTCTCGGGTCTTTCATATTCTGTTGCCTACACAATCACCACCATCCATCTTCCCTTCTCTCTTTGTAGCACACAACAGCAGCTCCCTTTTGTCTAAGAAACAAAAGATTCAGGGTGAATGTGTCTGCATTTTTGCTTCACCTGGCTCTTTGTTCAACGCCTGGTCCAAAGCCAAGTAATTCCCAAAGGTTTTCTAGAGAAAGGTAACATGTCGGCTCACCCGTCTGCTTGTCATTTGGTCCACCATTAGTGTTCAATAACCATTCCTTCTCACTGATTTATGCCCTTACCTCAGGGCCACACGTTTCAGGAGACACCGTGAGCATGTGGGATGTGTGATAAGACTAGCAGGATATTTAAAGTTAGGGGATGGTAAAGACAGAGTGGAGCTCCCGTGCTGTCTTCCTGTGTAGATAGGCAGCTGTACCCAGATGATAGCCATCCTCTCCCTGGTGAGGCCAAAATCCTAAGAGACATTCGGGCCCCACTCTGATTCATGATGTTATCACTTGTGTCTGCTGGAGAATAAAAATGCTCTACAAAATTTATTTGATGCTGCCATGAAAACAAACTTGCATTCAAAACTCAGGCCTGCCCATCTTCATTCACTACCCAGACCCTCCAGGGACTTTCCGGGGTCAATGGATCAAATTCAAACTTCTTAGCTTTGTATACTGGCTTTGTATAGTCTGGCCCCTAGCAAGCTATCCAATCTCTCCAAGTGTGAAGGAACTGCCTCTCTCCCTCCTTGCACCTCAGAGTATAAATTAGTATGATTGTGCGTAGTGTGTCAATAGCTACCAAAACTTGAAAAGCACAGACTCTATAATGTAGCCCTTCCACTACTAGAAATTTTAATCATGGATCAATTCATACATGTGTCACACGTCATATGTTTAAGGATACGCAATGCAAAATCTTGTAAAAAGAGAAACTGGAGGAAACCTAACACAGATTGATAGGAAACTGGTTAAGAAGCATCCCGCACACCGCAAACCATTTTAGGCAAATGCTCTACCACCGAGCTATTTTCCCCACGCACCCAGTTTAAAAATGAACAAAGCCTTCCTGTACAGGTTTGGAAGGGTTTCTGAGATTCTTGTTAATGTTAAAAGCAACAAAATTTACTCTGAGAGTAAATTATTTTTCTCCCAGATAGGAGTTTCATTTTATATTTAGGGATATCCCCCACCCTGTCACACATCAGTATTTATTTATTATTAGTTTCAGTGCCTTTTTCTGCACAAATAATAATCTACTAAAATAAACCTAAAAATGTTTATTCAGTACTTCCAGTAATTTTACAAGGGCATAAGAGACTTCCGAATTAAGGGCTAGGGTTTTTCTATTTTGTTCCATGGGAATGTTATTACCTGTTCAAAAATAATAAATTCTTTTAAAAAAATCTCATGGGCCTCTCATTCCCCCACAGGCTCAAAGTCATAGCTCTTCCTACCTATCATAATTCATAGCTGTGACCTCTGTGGGGAGTGGAGTATAAGAAGCCTATGAGAACTTGACAAAAGCACAACTGTGTTGAATAATCTGCAGGCTGAGTTGGCACAGCCCCAGCTGCAGAAGGGGTAAGGGCAAAATGCAGCACAGCTGCTTTTCCTAAGATGTTTACATCCAGAATAGCACTCACAGGTTCCTCCTGTTTCCTGATAACTACAACGTCATGCCCCACCATCCACCGACCCCTGCACTGCTGCTCTACTTCCTGGTTTGCCGCTGTATATAATAAACTCGCTAGATGTGGTCACTGCTGTTGTGTGTCTCCATCAGAGTGTCCAGCCCACCTGACCCCAGCTTTCTGCATGCTTGTCTTCTGTCTTTTGTTCTTTCTTAATCTCCCATTGCCCCCAGTGAGGTGTCTAGGGTAAGCTCACACAGGCCGCTAGAACCTCCTTCACATCTCTGTCTTTCTGTCCCCTTTGTCAGGGACATCTTTATCCCCAGCCCTTCCCTGACCTCATTCTTATCCTTTAAGGCTCAGCTCAAAAGCTGCTTCCTTTGGGACTTTGTAGAACTTTCTTCATGTGATGTGCCTCCCTCCTCTGTGCATTTCCTTTATTTTTTTTAAATAACAGCTTCATGGACGTAGGGTTTGCATACAATACAATGCACATATTTAAAATGCTCAATTCAGTGGCCTTTTGTATATTCACAAGGCTGTGTGACCATCACCACGATAATTTTAGAACAATTTCATCACCCTAAAAGAAAACCTTCTGCCCACTGAGAAATTGCTCTCCATCGTAAAACAACCATTCATGACTGTCTGTGGATTCTCCTCTTCTTCACTCACAGCTGGAATAATACACCACGTGGCTGTTTTTGCCTGGTTTCTTTCACCAGATCATGTTTCCAGGGTTCATCCATGTTGTAGCATGCATCCTCATTCCTGCCTGGAAAGGGACACTCAATAAAAGTTTACTGAATAAATGTTGAAGGAAGGAGTCCACAAAACTAACATAACCCTACCTTAGGTCTTTGACTGCCTGACTAACATCTCTTGTTCATGTTAACTTCCCAAATTAAATTTGACAAAATTCCTGTTACTTTAATGGTGAGAAAATTTATTTTAACTGGTATACCAGAGTTCCTCTTGAAAAGAGAACTCTTTTTTTTTCTTTTTTTTTTTTTTGCGGTACTGGGATTTGAACTCAGGAAGTCACACTTGCTAAGCAGGTGCTCTATCCCTTGAGCCACTTCACCAGCCTGAGAACTTTTTCTTTAGAAAGTACTCACATACCATGGTTTATACTGTTAAATCAAAACCCTGAGCTGGGTGAAATGGTCTGCATTAGAAGCTTGAGGGCTGAGGATGGAGCTCAATGGCAGAGCATATGCAAGACCCTAGGTTTGATTCCCAACACTACAAAAATAAAAAGGTAGTAATTTGAAATTAAAGAAGGGAGCCATGCAGTGTAGTAGCACCCTGGAATTTAAAAAAGGTGGGGGGGTCTCAAGTAAAGTTTCTTGTGTGTCCAGAGACTTCAGAGGAGTCAACTGTTTAATATCTGATTTTGTCAACTTGCTCTGACATTGTGACGTTTATTTTGTCTTGTTTTCCCAGGCTCCTGGCAACCCTGTCTATATGGATTTGCCTATTCTGAACACCTCATGCAAATAGACTCACCCAATTTGTAATATGGCATCTTCAGCGTCGTGGTGAGAGCACTCCATTCCTTTTTGTGACCATTACAAGGACAGAGCACATTTTGTTTCTGCATCTTTGGTTAGTGGACATTTGAGCTATTTGACTCCAGGAGTTTCTTGGGGGAAGGACAACTCTTTGTTCCTGTCAGTTCCATAACTGGCTTATAAGATTCAATGAACGTTTGCTTGACCCCAGCTCCCAGGTCCAGAGACAGATCCTTGGCTTCCCCACTTCCTACAAACCCTCTGAGCCTTTTTGCTCAGAGGGTGCCAGACAGAGATAGGGCAGGGCCCGCAATCCGGCAGAACACAGTGTCATTGCTGACTCACAGGCTGTTGCCAGGCTGGGCAGAGCTGCTCTGTTATCTCCAGAGGCCAAACTTCTAATGACTTCCATTGGAAAACCATGTGGAAGGCCATAAGCAGTGATAATATATCTCTTGGGTAAAGGCTTAATTTATGTCCCCTAATGGAACATGCTGGGAGACATTTGATAACACACGCAAATCTGCAGGCTAAATTCCATTTTTGAATTCTTTACATTCTGATAAATTGCAGGCTCCCAGACATGGGATTCATCTTGGTGATGTCAGTTCACAATATCCCTTAACCTCTGTGTCCATGAGGCTCAAGATACAAGTAAGCAGAACATAGCTGGCCTTATGTACGTATGTTTCTAGCGATCTGATCCAGCCATTTGGCCTCCATGTGGGGTCAGCAATGTGAAAGCAGAAAGACTGCAAATTGGGCATTTGGGCCCATGAAAAGAACCATAGAGATATTCCCTATGGCAGATATTCCGATCTGGGGACTTTATCCATTTTAGCTTGGGCCCCCAGAAGCTGATATAGGCAAGGATTTAGGAGCAAGTAATAGCAAAAGAATTTTCATGAATTCTCCCATCCCCCTAGCACACTGCATTTTTGTGGATCATTCACACACCTGTTCCCACCCCTGATTAGTTCATGTGGTATTTCCTGCATTTCTGCCTAGCATTAAACAGTGAGCCTTCTCCCCATTACTAACGGGCTTCGTTCGACACGGTGGTGGCCCAGCCTCTTTTCATGGAAGTGGGTATGATCCATACATTCTCGTGTTTCTGTGTGTGCTGGGTGATGTTTGCTCATCCATTTTTCTTTGTTGTGTTGACTTTGCTATTTTGGTCAACACTGCGATGAACATTTTCTTGCATGGACCTTTTAGCCCCGGCAGAATTATCTCTCCAGGACTGTATTGGTTATTCTCTGTGCTCTGCCCTAGCCCCCACCCTTACCATGGAAGGCTTCTAAAAGCAAGCACCTGGGACTTTTTAACTCCCTCTGCATATGTGCGGAAGATGGAAGGTCAGAAGTCAGTTCTTCAGGAGAAATTCAACCTCGAGGGACCACAAGTGGTGGGCTGATATCCCGACCCCCTCAAGATCATGCTAAGGCATGTCACACAGTGTCCTAGAGGTCCCCACCACACTGTGCTGCAGTTGTCCTCGATGGAAATAGGCTTGACCAGGTATTATCAGTGTCTTCTTGCTATCATTATTTATAGTCTCATAAATAACATCTTATAAGTGTTATTTGTAATGTAATAATGTCTGCTTGTTATGTCATTATTCTTGTTATTGCTAATTGCCTGTCTTGTCACTTCCTGTCCCTCTGCTGATATTTCCTGGGTTTACTTCCCAAATCAACTTGTTGGACCAGAATTCTTGTCTTGGGGGTGGAATGTTTCTAGGGGATACTGCTGGAACTGGGATAACTGGAGCCTGGGCCATGAATAGCTCCATGATTCTGGCTATGGACTCAATGCCC